AAAGATGTGGTCTACTTTAAATCCATTGCCTTCTTGCTTGTATTGTTTCCAGTGAGACATCTGTTGCCACTCTTATTTTCATTTCCTTGCACAGAACACACTTTTTCTCTGCTGTTTTCCAGGCTGTCTTTTTTTTTTTTTTTTCCCTTGGTTTTGGCCAGTTTGCTCATAATGAACTTTAGTGTAGGTGCTAACACAGTGTTCACGGTATTTGTTGGATTGGTGCATTTATGATCTTCATGGTGGAACACTTTCAGCCTTTATTTTTTCATATACTTTTCCTACCTTGTTCTCTGTTGGGAACTTTAATTTCATATATATTTGGCCTCCTCAAATCATACCACAGCTCACGGATTCTTTTTAATTATTTCTTTTGTTTCTGTATTTGATTTTGGGGAGTTTCAATTCCCATGTTGTGAAGATCACCATTTTTTTTCTGCTGCAATGTCTAATTCCATCCACCAGATTTTTAACCCTATACATTATGGTTTAATCTCTAGAAGATCAGTTTGGGTCTTTGAAAAATATCTTCCATATGTCTACATACCTTTTCAAACATGTGAAATACTGAGTTTACCACCCTTGTCTGCTCATTCTAACACTTGAGTCAGTTCTGGGTTAGTTTCAATTGATTGCTTTTTCTCCTGTCTGGCAGTTAGAATTATCTGGTTAATACACAGCTGAAACTTGCATAGGTCTCCAGGGATCTCTTCTGTGCAGCTGTCTCCTCTGGGTCCTCTGCCTTGAGAGGTCTAGCCTCTCTGATGGACTCTCAGCATCTTCTCAACAATTTGCCAGAGTTTCCCTGGGAACTCTGTGAAGGCAAAAATCTAGACAATCAGAAGACTCACTTCATTTATTTTCCATGTCTCATGGCCCACTGTCTCTTGCTCCCTGATATCTAATGTCTTGGAAGTGCTAGTTCATACATTTTGTCCATTCTTTAGTTTCTCCAAGCAGGAGGGCATATCCAGTCCCTACTACCTTGTCTTGGCCAGAAGTAGCATTTGTCATAAACAACCCTCAGATGACAGATGACCATTCTGTCATTTCCAGGACTCCTGGCAAGGCTTGAGAACTGGGAGTGTATGGCTTTTCTTGGTTATCCTTTGTATTTTCCACACTGAACCTTCTGTAGCACCCACTTTCATGGAATTCACCAAAATGGAAGTGTGGGTGTGAAGGGAGCACAGGCACAGCCTCTGTCAGGATCCCTGCTATGGCCAACCCACAGCCCCTCCTGGTGACAGCCTTCAGAGTGCATGCCTGGCTGCTCCTTCTCTGTCTCTGGAGGACGCCAGCTGTTCACCGAGACTAAAGACTGTAGCTACAGTCCTAGTGCTGGTGGATATTGTGAGGATGCTCGCTGCAACGTAATGCATTCTCATGAGGAACATTTCTATGATCTGGGGTGGACCAGACTACAGTGAGAGCCACTGAGCGCCCCAAGCTGAGCTACAGAAATGTCTGTCTCTTCCCCCTGAGTGCGGCCCATTGTACCTAATCTAGGAAGCTAAGCAGGCTTAGGCCTGGTTAGGACTTGGATAGGAGAAACGTCTGTCTCTAGCACTCTCACTCAGCCCTGTTATACTTGGATCACCAGTGCATTTCTGAGTAGAGAGGCCTCTCATTTGAGGTTAGATGCTGGGGAAATCAAGTAAAAGGCTGTGGGCAGAATACAGCCAGGTTGTCCTTCCTTATCTCACCAGATGTAATAATTATCCTATTAGTTTAGTATCAGTAGCAAACAGAAAGGATGGACAGGTGGCCTGGCCTCAGAAGGAGCCACACTTTGCTAGTTTTATCCATTAAGAGTTGACATAAGTAAAACACATTTTGTTCCCAACTAGACATTATTACAGTTCATTAGACCAAACAGAGCTGGCAAGGGTGTGAGACAACCATTTTTTCCTTTCATATGAGAAGTCTGTTTCATTTTCAGGACACGTTATTTTTTGCCTAATAAGCAATGTTTTCTTGACATCTCTTCCACAGGCCTGAGGTAATCCCTGTGGAAGGAGGGAGAAGCTGACTACCCTTTTCACCTAATCCTTTTGCAGCCTGCATGGTAAGAAGAATGTGGAGGGGAGGGAAAAGCCCAACTTCCTGACACCACTGCTTCTCAGACTCTCAGGACACAAGCAACTGAGTCCTTCTGAAGGAGGCCTAAACTAGCGGAGAATGAGGTGCAGTGTTAAGAAGCCCATATGACAGTGGTGGTGGCCATTCTGGTTGTCACTAGGACAAGCTGTCACATGGTTCTTCCCAGGACAGAGCTGGTGACAGTGCTGGAGGTCGTTGTACCCACACCCAGGCCTCTGAGCCCTCTTGCACCCTTGCTTCCAGACCAGAAGGGCAGCTGGATATTGGACAGTTTTCTCACCTCAGGATAGGAACTGGGGTGGGAAAGATATAAAAGCCAATTTAAGTGTCTAGAAGTGGAAGGGGCCAAACTGGGCTTCTGTTTGCAAGTGTCTGCTCAGGCCAAGGAGAGGTATGTGAGGGGCAGCGAGCCCAGGCCAGCAGGAGACCTGCTAGGCAGGGGCCCCAGGGGTGACAGATATGTAGGGGAGCTAGGAAAGACAGATACACTCAGTGAGTGTCCTCTCATACCCACAATGCAGGGAGAGGAACCCTTCAGAAACCTGGATCATATCATTCTTTCCGTCAACACCCAACTGACAAAGACCAGTGTCCTTGTGACAGGCTCCAGGGCCAGCCTCCAGGTGCTCTTGGCCTTGCCACCTCCATCTCTTGGCTCCTCTGCCCCTCACTGCTCTGTTCTATGAAGAAGCAGGCACGGTGCCCTCCTGCTCTCCTGGAACACTCTTTCCTGACATTTGCCCACAGCTCCCTCCTTCATCTCCTTCACATCTTTGTTCAAATGCAGTCGCCCCCAGCACACTGTTTAAACCCCCAACCCTGGAATTTCCCCGACACCACTCATGGTGACCTGCTAGCCCTTTATATTAGTCCCTCATGTCATTGCCTGGCAATGGGACAGAAGGAGGAATTTTGTTTTTCTTTCTTGGCTCCTTAAGAGCTCATTTCTCTTGCCAGGGATATAGCTTATTGGCACAGCACCTGCCTGGCAAAAGCAAGGTCCTGAGTTTGATTTCTGGTACCAAAAAAAAAAAAAAAAAAAAAAAAAAAAAGCTCATTTCTCTCCTGTCTAGACCAGTACCTGGCATATAGTTGGTGCCTGAAAAATATCTGCCACATGAGCTGAGCCACTGTGGCAGAGCCCTTTCCCCCAGGCACAGCACATGGAGACCCAGGCCCCCAGGGGTTAGTGTCTCTCAGGCTGACTGGGGAGAGTTGTGTGCCCAGCTGAGATCTTCCTTGTTCAGACCCACAGGATTCTAGTGGCTTGTTATCTCCAAAGCCACCAAATTGGGGCACAAAAATCCAAAGCCTGTTGATTAGACTTGATTGAAACAGCACAGGGAATATTCAGGAACCCATGTCCCACAGAAAGGGACTGGTGTTTTGTCACTTGGGTGTCCTGAAGTTTGCAGAATTTCCCCTATCTTTTCCCTCTGGGGTAGGGAGCCGGCCTATTTGGCTGCCTTTGGTGTTAATACTCAGGTCCCAGGGAGTGGTGCAGTCCTGGGGTGGAGCCCTTCCCAATGCACCTGGCGAGTGAGCGAGCACACAGTCAGCAGCCACGACGAGGCAACACAGACAACACGCCGTGCACACTCGCGCACATACACACAGATGCCCATGGAGACAGCCGGGGGGTGCACAGGGGCCGGACCCTTCGTGACATGCACCTGTGGAGGTGGACAGCTCTCGTACACTGGGCCCCAGTGGGTTCAGGAGAGAGGATGATTGAACAAGAGGCCAGGATGACGTCAGAGGCAGAAGAGAGGGCCACAGGACATGATCAGCAGAGGATGGGCCCAGCATTGAGGGCCCCGGATGGCACGGTCAGGACACACAGGACACGGGAGAGAATGGGAGGGAGGCCCTGGCTGGCAGCCCCTGGAGCTCAGTGGTGTGTCGTGTGGCCAGAACAACCCCCACACAAGGGCAGCGTGTGACACACACCACCAGATAGCTGTCCATGGTGACGCTTCACAGAGTTAGTGTTTTTGAAGTTCTGTAAGTGATCTTGGGGATCTGATTTTAAAGATGATGGCTCAGCCACACAGGGGACCGGCAGGAAGGAAGGGCCTGGAAGCCAGACACGCTGAGCCGTGTGCAGGGCCAGGGTGAAGTGGGGTCATGGCTCTGTGCCATGGTGACACAGGGGAGGGTGTGGGTGCCCCAGGCTCTGCTCCTGCAGGGCAGTGCTGCTGAGGGGGCGGGGACATGGTGGTGTTACCTGCACTTGTCTCCTTGGGGCTGTCATGCTGGGGCTCCCTGCCTTGCTAAACCACAGCAGAGAAAGGAGGATAGACAGATGAGAAAAGGGGAGAGAAAGGGAAAGAGAGTGAGAGCAAGAGCAAGAGCAAGAGCAAGAGCAAGAGCAAGAGAGAGCGAGAGAGAGAGATAGACTGGGCTCAAAGGAAACCATTTAGTCTCTAAAAGGGGCCACAATGGGACTTTTTGACACTACCAGCCAGTCCTTATGCTATTCTGGGCCTTGTTCCTGACCATTGAATGTTCTACGTGCAGAGACATCAATGCCCAGGGAGGGTATGCGTCTTGTGAAAGACAACACAGAACATCTGCAGACTCTAGGGATGAGTCCAGCCAGCTGCTTCCTGACTTCAGTTCTTTCCCACCACCCAAAGCCTGCCAGGATCCAGGTGCAGTGGTGACAGGCTGGGGCTACTCTGCACTGGTAACTCTCACACAGATGTGTCACATCTGTTTCTCACAAAGGTCCCCGCCCTTTCTGGGAGGGGGAGCTCCTTGCCAGTCAACCCAGCCTCCCACCCACCTGAGGCAGACAGAGTTCCAGGGACAAGGCTCTGTGGGAAGAGGCCACTGGTGCTAGCAGCTGACAGGGGGGCCCTGTCCAGCTTCGCCTTCACCCAGGGGACACTCACCATTCATCTGGGAGGGCGACAGCGAGTAGTCCCTGTCTGCCTGCCGCCGATCTGGCTTCAGGTTGCGGCTCTGTCTGCCGGAGCCCTCCAACATATTCACAATCTCACTCCGGTCGATGTTCCGCAGGGCCGCATACAGGTTTTCCACTGTCAGGGAGGGGAGGAGGCAGGTGATTCTAGAGCCCCAGGGAGACTGCACAGGCCTGAAAACAGGGCTGGGCGAGGGAGGTAGCCAAGGTTTCCAGAAGGTGGAGACCCCCTTCTGTCAAAATCAAACTTCGAAGGAGAATTCTTTCTTATGTACAACAGATCTTTCCCCCAACATAATAGTGGTCTTTCCTCTTTTTTTTTGGTCATGCTGGGATGAAATCGAGGTTCTCACATGCAAGAATTCTACACTGAGCTATATCCCCAGCCCCTTAGTGGCCAGTTTAAAAGCACAGAAAGGCTGGTAGGCTTTTGTTTATAATCTAAGAGGAGTACTGCTGTAGGGAAAAGCAGACAAGAGCGGGTGCTGTTCTTTGGAAATTCTGGGTCCTTGCCAGTTGACTTTTGATGCAAATATAAACACTCAACTTCCCCTAGTATTGTTAAGGACTGGAACCTGGCTGATGAGGCTCTGAGAAGAGTGACACCAACCTTCCTCCAGGTGGGGAAAGTGCCCCTGGGACAAAGAGAGCCACACAGCCTGGGGCTCGGCCCTGAGATGCCACCAGTTATGTGGCTAGGAAATCACACAGGAAGAGCTGGAAGATCAGAGTCAAAATCCTATCTATACACTGCCCTGTGGGGGCCTGGACAACTTCTATCTTATTCCAAGGAGGGGGGAAGAATGAGGTCAAGATTTGCTGGTCATGGTAATGTGTTCTGGGGGGACTATCTAGAAGGCTTCTGACCTTGAGAAGTGTGACAGAGAGTGAGAGAGGGAGAGAGAGAGAAGAGGGCGAGAGAAGAGAGACAGCCTCCTAAGGCCAACATCACGGGTACAGTATGAAGGAAGAGTGCTCCTGCGCCATGCAGGTCCTAGCCCGCTGTGGAAAGAGGTTTCCTCAGCTGAGAAGTACTGACTCTTTGCATTTGCGCCTTCCCGGGCAACCCAGAGGTTCAGCAAGGCTGCGCTCTGCTCCCACAAAGAGTTGGGATTTTCTACCCGGATCCTGTTGATTTCCTCCACACTGAACTGCAGCTCCCGGGCCAGTTCTGCAAGCAAAGAACCAAAAGCGGGGTAAGTGTTGGGGGCAGAGTGCAGCCTCCTTTCCCCAGGAAGGGCCCCGGCAGTGAGTGCTTGTGCCTTTGTGTCCAGACAGGGAAGGGCTTGGGAAATACGCAGTGGTGAGCGAGTGAACCCACAGTTGGACAAACGTCCTTTCCCTTTTTCATGACTTCCTTTCCCTTTTTCATGAGCTGATGAGAATGGGCCCTCAACAAGGACAGCAACTTCTCCAAGGTCAAGGGCAAGTTAGTCTCTGAGCTGGGAGGGGCTAAGGTGTTGGTCCCTAGGGCAGTGGGGCCTGCACCACACCAGGAGGCCACATACTCTCCACCAGGTACCAGTGGGGACAGGCCACCAGGAGAGGGCGGGACTGACATTTACAAGGGAATTTGAGCTCCCTCACTACCAGGATTTAGAAGGAAGAGAGCCTCAGAGTGATTTCAAGGAAAGGAAGCCTGAAGAGAAAGAAAGAATGAATGTGTGAATCAGAACATGTGTGTACAACACCTATAAACAAGCACACAATATACATGTGCACAGATATTCAGGAACACACATTGCTTGCCCCACATGAACACATGCATATACACAGTGATGCACACACACAACATGCCACACACATGCACAAGTGTGTACGCACACACCTCAAGAAGTAGGAGGAGATATGGTTTAAAGCACCAACAGTCCTTGAGCTCCTGAGTTCCTGTCACACGACCTTGTACGTTTTTGCTAAGGTTTCTGAGTTTGCCTGTGTGAGTGTGTGAGTGAGGGCAGGGAGTCCATTTGTATGAAAGCTAACAGACAAACAAACAGTGCAAGGGAGAGAGAATGAAGCTGCAGAGCTGTGGCTTTGGGTCAGATGTGCCCTGCCATGGGCTGAGCGAGGCTGGTGCAGAGATGAAACCTGACGGCCCCAACATTCCACTGTCCAGGAAAGGTGGTGTCCAGAGCAGGGCAGGCAGTACACAGGGTGTCAGGAGGCACAGTTTTGTTTGGGTGCTTGTTTTGTTTATCTATTTGGTTTTTCTAGGTTCTGTCACTAGGTAGCTCAGCAATCAAGTCACTCTAATGAGCTAGATCCTTGATCCGAGTTTTCCCATCTGCAAAATAAGCTAACTAGCCAGTCAGAGGCCTGCAGGAACATGCTGTTGATTCCTTCTTCCACAGGAAGCCAGAGAAATGAAGGGGGCACGCTGCTTTCCCTGGCACCTGGCAGCACAGCTTCTCAACGTGCCCCAGACAATCGCAAATCAAACACACAGCAGACAATTGAAAGAAACCCTATGCCCACTGCTTCTCCAGGAGAAGAGATGAGGGATCAGTGATAGGGCCTTTCTGCCCCATCCCCAACTCACCGGCCCAGCTGAGGCCAAGGTGCTCTGTAATGACGGCCACCTTCAAGTCGGCTCGGTCTGTCCCGCTGGGGAAACCTGGGGGTGTGAGATGACACTGAGCAGCCCAGTGGGCACAGGTCTGCAGGGTGTGAGTGAGCGGCCCCCGGCAGGTGGACACTCAGGTCACACTGTAGTGCTAACTCTGGAAGTCAGTGGAGACCAAGTCTCAGGCTTGACTTGTGGTGGGCAGAGCAGGCTGAGGAGACGGCATCTTAGTAAAGCCCTGCCAGGGTGCGGGACATGGGTGTCACCCAACCTCCTCAGAGAAAGCAGCACATCACCACACGGGCCCCTACCGAGAGCCGACTCGCTGAGCACGCTGTACCGCAGGGTCAGGGGGGTCAGGGTCCTCCTCCTGTCCTCAGCTCCGGTCCCCTGTGGAGGGAAGGCAAGGACAGGGTGCCTTGGATTTCGGGCATACCCCTTCCTGGAGAAAGTGGTCTGAGCACTCACGCTGTGGGCAGGTGAATGGCGCCCTGGTCCTGGCGGGCAGGAAGCAGCTATGTTTCTCTGGAGGCAGAGAGTGGAAGTACGGGGTGGTGGTGGGGGGGTTGCGCAAGGAAGCTGACAAAATTCAAACATTACTGATAGTAAGGGCAAGCTCATGTAACTCTTCTCATGCCTGAGGGCTGTTTAATGCTCACGACAACATGGGAGGTAAGTACTACTACTATTCTCATTTCACCCATGAGCCACTGAGGCATAGAGCTTAAGAAACTTGCCCAAGGTCACCCAGTAAAATCAGTGAAGCTGGGGTTTGAACTTCAAACTAAGTTTCTCTTGTTGAATCCCTTTCTTTTCATCAGCCCCATTTCTGACACTGGCATTGGGGTTCACGTCGGGTTGTGTTTGTTTGAGGTTGCAGGAAATGGCTTTTGAGAGAAAAACGGGTTCCCCCTTGTCCTCAGAAAGAAAAGAATTGTGCTATGGACATATGAACATGACCGTGCTTCTTTTCTAGGTCAGCATGGAAAGCTGATGATTAAAACAACAACAACAGCAGCAGAACAACACCAACAGGAAGCACGGAGACACTCCGCAGACACATGAGCACTCCCGGGCCTGGTGCAGGGGACTCAATACTCTCACAGGTACTGATACGTGAACATACTTGGTCAAGGCTCCTTGGCTGAGCTCAGAGCCCTGGCTGTTTGCAGTGGCTGAGGACACCAGGATTCCCTTCTCTGAGGGCCTAGCACCCTGGGGAAGATAAGTACGTAAATGACAAGGAGGCTGGGTCACAGCGCTCCTGCAGCTGGTGGCCTTGAGCAGCTGCTGCTGCACCTGGTGTCACATGACCAAGTGGGGCTGGGAGCGCAGAGAGGGCAGGTAGGGCTCAGAGCAGGAGATAAGGGAGAACCTGGGCCATTGTCAGCGAGAAGCCCTGTCCTGGGGTCCACTAGGGGCCTCCTAGAGGAGCCCAGCTCTGGCCTTGGGGGTTCACCAGGCAGCAGCTCACCTTGGTGCAGGGGGGCATCGTGATGTTCAGGTGGCAGAGGATGTGCTGGGTGTCCTCATACTTCATGGCCTTGCGCAGGAATGACAAGAACCCCGCTGGCTCTCGGCTGCTGTCCCTCACCTAAAAGCAATCAAGGAAGACTCAGCAGGCCTTCCCAAGGCTGGCAGGAAGGAAGGCTTACAGACTTCCACCTCCCAAACATCCCAGACCCAGAGGTGGGTCAATAGGAGGAGGCAGCACCTTCACAGGGATGGCCAAGCGGTTCTCCCGAAAGGACTGGAACTGGAAGCTGCGCTGTTGGGCAGCCTTTCTGACAGGTACCAGGTTCCCAGAAAGTTCTGCAAAAAGGGGCATTCCTTCCAAAACCTGGTGGGCAGGAAAGCAAACACAGCTGGTCATGTGGGAGGCCCAGGTGGCCCACCTCAGGTATTGGCTTCCCTCCTGGACAAGCCCTCATCCCAGCATGATGCTCAGGATGTATTCTGAAAGCCCAGTGATTTGGAAGAGGCTTCCTGTCTGGGACATGAGAGTGAGGCATACTTCCTCACTCCACAGGGGTCCCCAGTAAGCAGATGCCTTCTGTGCCCAAGCACTGAGAGGTCTTGCTATTAAGTACTCTAGAACACCTCAAGGATATTGCAACAGTGTTTGAAAAACGCCAGGGTCATTTTCACATTGGCCGAAGGTGTTTAGTCCACAAGAAGTGCTAGAAAGACCATGGTATATTTTCATCTGTGTGCATAAACCAATATAGTCTCAGGGTCCCATCTGACAAGTGGGAAAACTGAGGCTCAGAGGAAATAACTGCCGTGCCCAGTGAGCACCCGAGAGCTTAGAACCAGGGTGCCGCATCCTGCACTAAGCTCTCGACATTGGGCCCTTCATGTCCCCAGGAGGTAACCAAGGCCAGAAGTAGGGTCATATCTACTCTCACCACTTGACACCTCCCATCACTGTCCCCCTCAGCTACCTCCCTGCCTCCTCAGCTACCAAACCCCGGCACAGTGGGCAGCAGGATAGGCTTTGGTACTAGACAACTGGGACACATTGCACCTTCACCCTTTCCTCTGCCGCGTGACCTTGGACAAGTTACCAACTTCTGCCTCCCACTTTCAGCCTCCTGACATGTAAGCTGGGGACACTAATGCTATCCACAGTTAGGAGAATTAATCAAGGTTATGCAATGAAGTCACTGTCAAATGTCAATGCTTATCATCACCGGGCCAGCCAACTGCTGCCACGCTGTGACACACATAGATGTGTCTCCATGTCTGTGCCGGCTTATCTGAGACACTCTTCAAGACAGAGGCTTTGTCACCCACTCCAAAGACTTCCTGCCAGCCCCAGTCACCACAGCCCCACAGCCGCCCTTCCCGGGGGTCATTCATCTTGGCAAAAATGACAAACTTGGCCATGTAGGGCACTGCGGTCAGCTCTTTGTACAACAGCGTGGCAAAATTCACAGGAGCCAGTGGGAGCCCCATCCTAGCTCTGTGGCTGGGTCTGCTTAGGTGAAGCGAGAAAGGCCTGCTCGAGGGTCTAGTCACAGAGGGACCAGGTGCTGCACCTCTATGTCCCTGCTCCGGGCCACCTCCACGAAGTTCTCGTGCTGCTCCAGGGTCTTGTCCACCTTGTCATCTGTCATGCAGTAGCACCGCAGCCGCCCTTCCCGGGGGTCGTTCATCTTGGCAAAAATGACAAACTTGGCCATGTAGGGCACTGCGGTCAGCTCTTTGTACAACAGAGTGGCAAAATTCACAGCCTCTGCAGTCCGTGGACAGTCCGACAGCCAGAACCTAGAAGGAGAGCATGCAGGATGAGCACTCCTGGGTGGGGACGGAGAGCCCAGGCCATCTGGTCGGAGCCATCTGGGAGTCACGCTGTGGCCACCGCCCTACCTAATGGCTGGGGACAGAGGAGTAGCTCAGCCCAGAGGGTGGGCCAGAGCCTGAGCAGGGGTTGCTGGAGGCAGGGGTTGCTGAGCGCCTGCCATGCCATGCTGGGCCTCCCCTCACCTGGCAGAGACATTGGTGGTGAAGTTGGCACACTCGTTGGCATATACAAGCTTGGTAGTTCCTGTGATATCTTCCCACTGGGCTTGGTCAGTTCCGCCTGCAACAGCAGCAGAAGGGCGGCTGGGCACGCTCTTCCAGTGTAGCCACAGAGCTCAAAGGTGCCCAGGCCTGGCACTCATGGGCAGAAGTGATGCGCTGGGTGAGCCTTGGAGTGTGGCCCGAATGCACCCATTCTCCCACACTCTGCCCCTCTTCCCGGGGACCTGCAGTGCCCTTCTCCAGTGTAGCAGGCCCTTCCTGCGTCTTACTCACAGGTGCCACCGCTGTCTTGGGAGAGCACGGCACTCTCAGAACCAGCGAAGCCCAAGTGGTTGCTGGCTTTGCCCCTCCTGTCTCCCCACAGTGTGTTCCAGAAGGAGCTGCTGCCATGAGAAAGTAAGACAGGGCCAGGGTCGCCTCTCACCTATGACGCTACAGAGTAGGCGCAGGCTGGTGGTGTCTCCCTCCCCACTGTCCCTTGGGTTGTCTGTCCAGGAAGGAGGCAGTGGGATTCGGAGTCCAATCGGGCGGTGGAACTTCCGGCGTCGTGGCTCCACGGTGACAATGGGGCTAAATGTGGCCTGGTTGCCCAGGAGTTTGGTGACCAGCTCATCTGGGACGGGCTGGGCCTGTGTGGTACAAAGGGAAAGCAGGGGTTGGTCCAGACAGGAGACAGCTGGGAGGCCTCCAACAGGGCAAAGACTCATGACAGGAGGCTGGATCACTGTCCACCACGCCAAGCACAGTGCCCCAGGCTGACGTCACCACTCAGCTCCCCACCTGTTCCCAGGGAGGGCAGCCAGGGCCCATCCTGTGTCAGAACAGGTGGTGCAGTGGTGTAAGGCACACTTTCCTCACCTTCTCATCCCCCCTGCTGCCTTTCTCCCTTGTACTTCCTCTCCTGTGGAGTGCTAAGGCCCTCATGGAAGTATGGGCCATCCTGGGAGGCAGGGGGTCTTCCTGGGGGACCTAGCAAGGCAGGGGCTGTCACCTGCAGAGCCAGCTTCACTTTCTTGGTGACGGCATTTTCAGGGAACGTGGCTTGCACCAGTGGCACCAGCTTACTCTTCAGAGAGCCACCCTCAGGCCCGATGGTGTCGAAGTCCTGGCAGAGCCTCGACATGATCACGAAGTACAAGGGGAAGTCCGTGGTGATGATGCGACAGACCCTCTTCTTCTCCAGCTCCTCCAGGCTCCCCAGCTCTGGAAGCATGAGGCAGGGTGGCCACACTGTCACACTGAGCTTGGCTTAGGCCCTGTGCTGGCCCAGCCCCCATCCCTCTGGAAAGCCACTAGAGGAGGCTCAGGCTGTGAGTAGCGAGCACTCCCTCCATGCCCTGGGGCCCTGGCTCACCCCAGGGGTCATTCCCAGCCTCTCAGAAGCCCCAGCAGCCCCCAGGGTGCTGCCTCACCCTCGTCCATCCCGCTGAGGATCTGGTCCAGGCAATTCTCTCCATAGCGGCTCCTGTGCTCCTTCCACACAGAGCCGTTTTCGCTCCTCAAGACCACAAGCTCGCGGTCCCCTCGGCCGTGTGAGGCAAAATGGGGGATCTCCACGATCACAGGGCTGCAGTGGGAAACAAACGGTGGGGCGTTGCTCCCCATGTGGGGCACTGCAGGCCTGGACTGGAGCAGACCTGGGCCCGGGCTCCTGAGGTTCCCGCACCCTCCCACGCCCAGGGGCCGGAGTGATGGGAAGAGCAGGCAAGCACATCGCACCTGGGCCTCTGGACCACCTTCCTGGGACATGAGCCCGAGACCTCGCCTGACGCCCTGACAGGATGGGGGCACTAAGCTCTAGGGACCTGGCCCCCTCACCCATCACATGACCAGCATGGCATTTCTCTGTGGAAGGCTTTGAAGGTCACAATGAAAGAGAAAACAGGCATGCAAGGGACAGCTCAGCGTGGTGACAGGCAAGGGAGCAGAGATGGGGTGGCATCCGAAGGGTGACAAAGCTCCAAGAGACCCTGCTGGCTTCCATAGCAAGGCACATCCATTTATATATGGTCCTTAGAGCAATGCCACCAGGACCCCTGCCAGAGTGACTGCTTCGTCATTCACATGATTAAACCCCAGTTCCCCCAAAGGAGCCCCAATCTCCTCCTTCCCTTTTGTAGTGTGCCAGCAAAGTAAAATGAACTTTTTGTTTGGCAGTACTGTACTGGGGATTGAACCTAGGACCTTTGCACTGAGCCACATTCCATCCCTTTTAATTTTTTGTTTTGGGACAGAGTCTTTACATGTTGAGTTGCCTGTGCCAGACATGAACTTGCAATCCTTCTACCTCAGCCTCTCAGACACTGGGATTACCCAGCAAGATTTGGGAGTAGCAAGCTCTGCCTAGGCTGGGCTCCTTCATGAATTTAAGAAAGGGCAGGGTGATGGGAGTGGGGCGTTCAGCTCTGTTCCCCTCTCAGGACAACAAGAAATAAGGTGGGCTGGGGCTCTGTCCTGGGCCATGGCTGCAGTGCACCAGCAGGGCAGGCAGAATTTGGGGACCAGGACCACACACAGTCTGTCCCCCAGGGGCGTTGCCTCACCTCAGGAACTGGGCCCCTGTGGGCCCCAGTGCAATGATTCTGCTGGCCAGACCCTCCTCCTCGGCCAGTGGGGGTGGTGTGCTCAGCTTCTGGGGCTTCACCAGGCGGCAGGTGATGCGTGTCGGTGCTGCACAGGTCCTTGGCGGGATCACCACTCTCAGCCCGTTATGGCGACTTCCTCTCATGGAGCCTCCCCGGGCATCAACCATGAAGCTGACCAGAAACCTGGAAGCAGGGCAACCCGCGTTGGGCACCCACGCCTCTCTCAGGCAGGGAGAGCAACCCCAGGGCCCTGGTCACTCACCCGGTGTGGACAGGGCTGGCCACGGGGCTGATGTTGTCAGAGGTCTCTGTGGCTGGGCTGCTGGGGATGAGCGAGTCCTCATCATACTCTTTAGAGGCCTGAGGAGAGAGAGGCCTGCGGGCTCCCATCTCGCCACCCGAGTCACCCGAACACCAAGCCAGCCATGTGCCTGTGCCGAAAAGCATCACAGCCCCTCGACCTCCACAGCCTTTCCACGGCTATCAATTAGGGCAGAGCTTGGGCGCAGATGGAGGGAGCCCTTGCCCTCAGCTGGCTCTAGGTGCTCTGCCTGCTGCCCACCTGCCTACCTGCTTGAGGCCCACTGGTTTCCCCTCCAGAGTTGGCCTGGCTCCTGCACTGTCGCCTCCCAGCTCCCCACCCTGTGGGACTCAGAGGTTCATATGGGAGCTCACAGGACCCCTGCGGCCTCTGTCTCCTCCTCTGGAGAAGGGGCGCCCCTTCCCTCACAGTGACAGCACAGGCGCGGGGGGCTGGTCGTGCTCTCCTTCCCATGCAGAACACCAGGCCCCCTCCTTCCTTTGCCCAGTCCCAGCCCCTCTCCCTGCTCACTTCCTCAGGGAGTGCTGCTGAGTGCAAGCTCCCCTCGTGTGCCCTGGAAAGGCTCTCTCACAGCACACGATTAAGCATTTCACTCTCTACCCTTCCTGCCATCTGCCACTGGCCTGGTATGCCCGAGTCTTTCCTTCCGGCTGGCCAGAAGCTGTAGAAGGCAGAAGTCCCAGTCCTTCTATATCAAGCCTTATGCAGGTTGCTTAGCAGGAACCCAGGAAGTGTCTGCTGACTTGAATGAAGGACGTAAGTCAAGAGTTGAGAGATGCTGGAGTGTCTTGGGGTGCAACACAAGCTTATTGTGTGTAAGTTCCTGGGTTCAATCTCCAGCACCAAGAAAAAAATACAGCCAAAGAGAGTGGGCCAGCAGAGAATACCAGAGCCCAGGTCCACCTGAAGGGCTCCTCTACTATCTCTGGCAGCACCCAGGAACACGTCACGGCTGTGCCAGGGCCACCCAGTGACACCAGTGTCCATCACTGTGGTCCATCCCACAGTGGTCCTCAGGACAGCTGAGGGACAGTGCATAGCTGGCTCTGTCCTTGCTGCACAGCTGGGTCTGGGCTCAAGGTGCTCCTTCCGGATGTGGGTGCCTCAGAACTGAGCCTCGGCTGGAAAAGAGCCAGGCCGGGCTTGGCCACTGTGCACAGGGTGGCAATGCCAACCAACCTCCAGCGCCACAGCAGTGTTCTTTGTCCCTAGGAAATCCCCTTGCTTGGAAAAAAGTACCACTGGCATACAACAAAACAAAGGGAAATTTGATTGTAGTAAACTACTCTCTACTCCACACCTGCTTCTCTGTACAAACTGAGGTGGCTCTGAGGACACAGAGCAGGGGACTCCTTTCTGCCCCATTACCAGGGGGAAGGTGAGACAGGAGCTGTCCCCTCTCATGCACATGAAAAAGAAGGATCCCAGAGTATCACGACTCACCCAGAGCATCACGGGGGCACCTGCGAACCACCAGGAGGATTTCTGTCTGGCACAGTGACCCACTGCCCATAAGGGCAGAGTCTGGGTGCAGGAATGGGGAGTGAGAATGCTTTGGAGCCAGAGCTGCTGGTGTGGTCATGGGGGTTGCGGTGACAGTGTCAAACACAGCCCTGCTCCTAAGACTTGCGCTCGTAGAGCCGGAAGCCTGGGCTCCCCTCCAGAGAGCACAGAGCACAAGCTTTTCCACGTTAGTTCCCAGTGCAACCCACTAGGAAGGGACCTCCTGTAGAGGGGACTTTGAGGGGCCTAGGGCTTCTCACCTGCTCCGGCTCCTCCGACCTGATCAACACTGTCTCAGGGGTCACACACGGGATCCTTGGGATGGCAGGAGATTCCACCCTGTGCACCAGAAGCATGGGAAAATCAAGGGCCGGCGCTTCGAGGAAGCCCATCTCTCCCAAGAGACCTAAGTGCAAGGCTGCTGTGTGTCCACTGCATGCACGGCCTCAGCCCCCGCTTCACAAAGGACCCGGCTCTGCCCCGAGCCTCGAAGCCTTTGCCTCCAGTACACTGAGCAGGACCCTGCCCTGCAGGCCGTGGAGGGGCTGCCTCCTCCTTGCTGGCTCCCTTTTGCAGCCCTGCTCTTTGCCCTGCTCTGAAGCCACACAGCCAGGTCAACGGAGCCCTCACTTTGGCCTTGGTGACATCTTACTCTATGACCACTTTTTTTTTTTTTTTTCATGTTAGTGATGGAACCCAGGGCCTTTGCACTGAAGTACATTATCTCTCCTCTTTTTTTTTTTTTTTTTTTTTAACAGGGTTTTGCTAAGTCACTAAATTGTCATGAGGGACTGGAACTTGCCTTTCTCTGGCCTCAGCCTCCTACATAGCTGGGAACCTAGCTTTGATATGCGTTTTGTTAGTGGTACTGGCCTTCACACTGAGCTACATTCCCTGCCTTTTTTATTTTTTATTTTGAGACAAGGTCTCACTAAGTTGCTAAGCTCCCCAGGCTGGGCTTGAACTTGTGCTGCCTTAGCCTCCCAGAGTGGGCTTTGGGGCAGGTTTTGATCTCACAAATGAATCCATAACATCTTCATGGGCAGGGTCTGAGTTCAGTAAAAACGAAGCTGCCCTGTTCTGTGTAAGCCAGCAGATACTTGTGTGTTTCCAGGAAACACCGAGGGCTAAGTGCTTATGAACAGTGGTCAGTTCTGGGCTCTTTTGCAAACCACCCTATGTGCATGTCTGGATAGCAGCAGAGCCGCAGCAGTCAGGGAGGAATGGGAAGCAGGTTCTAGAGGACACCACTGTCTGGGTTTTACCCCATGGGTGCTGGGACATGCTCAGGGTTGATACTAGCCTGGCAATTTTCTAATGGGAACCTTCCCTGGAGATCATCCTGCAGAGCTGGTGAGGAGAGGAGTTTTGGATGTGAGGCTGTGAGCTAGAGGGAGAATGCTGGGGTCAGGGGTGCCAGGAGAGAAAAGACCCACTAACCAGCACACTGTGAAGAGGTACCTGCGTGTGACCGCGGCAGAGAAGGTGCAAGCCAGCTGATCCTCACATGCTAGGCACATCCCACCCACCGCTGCTGGCAGCACATCCAGGGCCTGGCCTTGTCCCAACCTCTCCCCCTGTCTATCACCCCTCTCTGAGTCCCAGCACTGCATCTTGGCCAGCTATGGCATTACCCCTGCAGCAAGCCCTGCTTACTTACACCTGGTCTAGCTTTGGCACAAAGTCCAGCAGCTCTCTCTCTTCATCCATGTCTCTGGAATCCTGCTGCTCAGCCTTGGAACCTATGAGTTCTTCCCCTGGAACAACACGAACCTGAGTTATCGAGCAAGCCCCTGGAGACGGAAGACTGCATCTTTCTTTCCTGAGGAGCAGACAGTGGCCTCTGATGCTCCAGGGGTCCCTGAGCCCCACACGCTTTGCCCATCCTGGTCCCTCAGCCTGGGAGCTCAGAGCAGACCAGCTAGCTCCTAACCTCCCCATCTGTACCCAGCTTTGGAGGAGGGACGACAGCACAGGCAGAAAGAACTCTCCTAGCTGGACAAGTTCTCACTGCAAAACAGCCCTTGGGGGTCTGTGGGGACACCGTGGAAAGAGCTGTTACTGCTCTCTTCACCACCACAGATGAATTACTACACTGGAATCAAACCCACTCTTTCAGAGAGGCTAGAAGTTTGTTCGTAACCATGGTTGCTGAAACTTCATTATTTCCATGATTATTTCTGTTATCTCACAATACTTCATTGTAGAATTATCATTTGTCATTCAAGCTTCAGCTGGGTCAGCTGCACCCCAGGCGTCCTCTTAGTTCCCCTTAGTTCTCTATCCCTGGCTGAACTGGGACTGGAGCCTGGCCCCGGCCCTTGCCCTCGCCCTTCATTGACGAGCACTCCACAGGGAGTGCCCGGGTGTGGGATCTGGCACTGACAGACAGGATCACAACAGCTCATGCAGTGATGACCGTGGACACAGTGGCATGGGTGCAGACACAACATGAACTGGCATGTGCTGGCACCCACGTGGGGCTCGCAGGTGAGGATGTCCTGTTTAGCCAAGCTCCTAGCTCTGCTTCGAGCCACTGGAGGATGGAGAGCAGCAATGGGTTAGTGAGAACTTGGGGTGCTCAGGGTGGGATGCACTCTGGTGAGAAAGACCATGGGGAACAGAGAGCGTATCATACCCATTATAGTTATGTGAGCAGTTCCTAGGAAGCAAAGGAGAGCCAAGTTGAAAGAAGGACAGCACTGAAGTCAGGTAAAGTGAGAGGTATGTTACCAAGGGCACACAAGACAGCTTTACACATCCACTGGACAAGGTCCCACAGTCTCGGGACTATAGACAGGACACAGCCCAAACCCCTGCTCTGCATCCTTGGTGTCTCTTAAGCTCAAGGAGAGTGAGGGCTTACTGGGGGAAGGAATGACAAAGTACTATGTCGTTCCCCACATTGACATTGCTGTGACTTCGTAATAGTGGAAGAATCCCCAAATCTACTGGCCTACCCAGCAGTCAGGGGAATAGTATTTTCAAATGCGTTCTCACAGACTTTAAATAACCCACTTCAACTCATTCAGGGCACTAGGGAAGCACCAGGCAGAATGTTATCACAGCTCCGATCTTTGTCAAATCCCACCCCCACATGATACCCACGTAACACACACACACACACACACACACACACACACACACACACACACACACACACGAGGGCTTGTGAGAGAGTTTAAATTTCCATCCCTCAGATATCAATTTTCCTGCACCTGCGATTATACAAAAGGAGTTATGTGATAATGGGCAACACCTATAAAAAGCCCCTCCCCCAGCCGAACCTGAGTGTGCCTGCCATGAGGGACCTTGTGTGTGGCTGTGCAAGGGGCAGAACGCAACTTGGGGTACTGAGGGTCCCTTGGTCCCCATGAGCTTGGCATCCCACACTTTACCTTCATCCTCAGAGACATCCAGGATCTCATCCACTGTCTCGGGGTAACTCATCCGGTGCTTGTCACTGACTAACTAAAAGGAGAAAAGCAGATGACTCAACCCAAACAGAGCAGTGCATCCTTTTCCCATCCAGCAAGCATCTGGTGGCCATGAGGCGACAGAGAGGAAGTAGGCAAGGAAGTGTGTCCCAATCGAAGAAAACCAGACCCCTGGGGCTCCCTGCAGGCACCTCAGGGAAATAATGGGCTCCCATTGGGCTGCTGCTCCCTTGGGCCACTAGATGGCAGCACAGTCCATCTGAAGCAGGGTGCTCGGCTGCCCTTTGGAGGGGCGCTTCCTGTGGGGCAGAGGCTCTGGGCTCCCAGAAAAACCCAAAGGCCTGGGGGTCAGGCTGGGATTGGGATACAGAAGAAGGCAGACATACCACTATGCTGGTTTCATCTGTGACGACTTTGAGCACGTCTGTCACAGAAATGTAGCCCAAACGCTTAGCAATTGCCAGAGGTGTGGTTCCATTCTACAACAGAGAGAGCAGGAGAACACTGTCAGACACAGCAGCAGGTCAGAGGAGAGTGTGGCCCCAGGGTGTAGGCTCAGCTCCCTTCCGGTAGTGTGGAAGGGGACAAGGGACAGAGACATCCTGTAGCCAAGAGCAGATCCCTATAAGAGCGCCTCAGTGCCCAGAGGCCGGGAGGGAGGAGGAGGTCTCTCCGGCTGTGGTGTTGGGCATGGGGCTTTGAAAGGTGAGCAGGGGACAGCCCTGAATGGCAGAGCCACTTCCCAAGAGAGAACCCTGGAGGGGCCACCGTGTGCGGCTGCAGGACGAGGAGGATGCAGGATGACGCTGTCCTTGAGACGTGCAGAACTAAAATGATCCCTATACTTTCAAGGAACAGCCCAGCGGTAGTCAGAGAGCACCAGAAACAGCAGGGCATGTTTTCAGGTTCGATTTTAAGAGCAAGACTGAATGAGAATGAATCAATAGCAAGGTCTCCATCTCTCGGAGGTGTCCTGTGAGGTTCTGGGACGTGACCTGGGGTCCGCACGACACAGCCCCACCGCAGTTATCCCAGCACGCACATCATCACACGCATCAGAGCTGCAGTGGTGTCGGAGAGATCTAATCACACCCCACGTGGCCAGGAAAGGAACTGCATCCTCACCTGTGACCACAAGGTCACTAATGAGAGCCCCAAGGCCCTGGAAGCAGGGATCCTAAGACACCTAATGGGGTTCACATGCCACACTGACAGCTGTTTCATATACTTGAGACGGAGTGTCAAGAACATTTAAAACCAAAAAGCGGAGTGTAACTGCTACTGAATAGGACAATCTTCAGTCACTAGAAAGAGAAACTGATCACAGACCCATCCTCGAGGGGGCCCAGGGGTGGGGGATGACATCATGGCCTTCTGGGGCTCGGCGACGGCCACCACTCACCGAGCTGACCTCGTTCGGGGAAGCACCACTTCTCAGCAGCAGCGTCACGATATCTGTGTGTCCCTGCTGGGCCGCCTGGTGTAGGGGGCTATACCCGAGCTGTAAAGTAAGGCAGGTGACAGCAGCCCAGCCAGTGCTCGTGAACAGCCTGTCCACTTCCACAGCCCACTTGCTCCCTACACGTTCCCTTTTCCTCCTTTAAGGTCAAAGCTTAAAACTGAGGCCAAGCCCCAAGTGTGCCAAGAGCAGCTACGGGCACTTGAGAAGCGTCAGAGGAGGACTCGGGGCTAAGGCACCTGTACCTTGGTCTTGGCGTTAACGTCTGCCTGGTGTTGCAGCAGAAATTTCACCAGCTTGATGTTTCCGTAGTGGCTGGCCACATGGAGCGGTGTATAACCCATCTGAAAAGTGAGGGACATACAGGTGCCCATCAGGGCAGACTGAGAGCCACGGTTAACCACCCCTCGGGAGATCCAGCACTGACTAAAGGAGAGAAGGCAGCAGCTGCTATCAACTGTGCTGCTGTCACCAGTCAGATCCCACTGGCCTGGGAAGGAGAGGGCTGTGTGTCAGATGGCAAGGGCTGAGATGGGTAGGGTACCCCTTGAACACAGCATGTAGGGGAGGCCTCAGCATGGGGAGAAGTGGAGCCATGGGGAGGAGGGCTCCTCAGATGGAGGGGAGCAGGGAATGGGGCTGGTGGCAACATCTACAGGGAGTTGGCACCAAGTGTTAAAGATGCTGGCAAGAGCAGCACTGGAATCCCAGGGTTCCTTCAAGGAGGCCACATGGAGTGATGGCGGACCTGCCCATGCACACTTGTCTGCTGGGAAGGCGAAACCCTAACATACTTGGGGAACCAGTCACTGCTTGAGAAGACTGGGCTATGGTCATTTATTCATGTGGGTTTGGGCTGTCAAGGAGCCAATCATCCTGTTGAGATTTTTGGTTTGTTTTTGTTTTCTGGTGCTGATTGTGGAACCCAAGGCCTTGTGCAGGCTGGGTGGGCACTCTACCACTGAGCTATGCCCCAATTCCTGTTGAGTATTTGGGGGCTGCCCCCACAGGCCAAGTCAAGGCCTTCGGAGGTCTTTGATCCCATGTGCCAGGGGAACCAGTGACAAATTCCAGACCCTGCGGACTGGACTGGGCCCTCTGTAACGGGATGGCTTTGGGGTCCTCCAGGCAGCTGTAACCCACAGGAACAGGGCTTCTCAGAGCAGGACCTCAGGACTAACCTGGGCCCACAAGAGAAACTCTAAGGATCTAGAACATTCTCAGATTTTAAACAGGTGACTGCTGAAGCTTCAGGCAGCTGGGGACTAAAAATCAGGTTCTAGACTTTTCTCAGTGTGCCCTCCCTCAGCACGGCACTATTGCCCACTGCCCATGCTCCAGTGGGCAGCGCTGGAAGAAAAGGGGTGGGGTTAGGTGGTGTCACCAGATGCCTTGTGAGAAAGGAGCAAAGTGCATTCATTCACAAAGCTCCTTCCTTCTTTCCCTGCTGGGAAGACCCCGTCCTCCTTCCGGGGTTCCAGCTCCTCTCTCACACATCCAGCAAATCTCTCAGTTCCTCCCGTCCCTTGCAGTCACCTCCATCTGAACTGCAAACGCCACCAGCACAGCATGCAGCCCGTGCACACGCACACATGGTGGCCTCACACTGTTTTACAGGCCCCCTGCACTTGGAAGAGGTGCAGAGGAAGACAGAGGGATCCTGCCACATGCAGGAAGAAAGTCACACTTCTGAGTGACTCTAGGGAAGCCTGACACGTGGACACACTTCTTGCTCATGGGGGACAGGTCTCAGGATTAAGCATTCCTCTCAAGTTCTTACTCCAGGGGCTTAAAGGCCTAGCACACTTTTTAAAATTCTCAAATGGAAAGTGATTGGTGTCTTCAAGGGCTGATGTCTGCACACTCCACTGCCAGCCCCAGGAAAGGGTGGGAGGTAAGTTCTGCCTGGGTCTTAGGGCTTGGCTCTGGTAGCTCACTACCTTGGTAGCCCCTGAGATGTGCAGGGCATGTTTTCAGTTTCGATGGGTCTGTGATCACTACCTCTGGTAGCCCCTACCTTGGCAAAGGTAGCTCTGAGTGGTGAGGGAGGGGGTTTGGCTGGTGTGAAAGCAAGCAGGCAGGGGTGGGCCCCACGGGACAGAGGAGGCTGCCAGACTTACCCGGGTGGTGGCGTCCACTGTGACACCATGTTTGATCAGCACGTCTGCCACTGGCACATGCCCTTCTTGTGCCACTAGATGGAGGGGAGTGAGTCCACTCTGGAAAGGAAAAAGTGTGCATCAGCTTTGAGCCAGGAAAGGATTCAGGCCACAGTGATGACAATGGAGCACTGAGGTTTGGGGATCCGGCCTGACTCTGTACCCAGTGACCTACATTTGACCAACTATTGCGTAAAACTCTTCCTCTTCTTGACCTCAATACCGTTACCTAAAAAGATGAGGGGTTAACAGTGTTTTTTGTTTGGAGTTGGATTGTCAAGACCTTAGACCTATGGCTTTGTAGCAAGTACCCATCATTGCCAGTTGTAATAAACAGCTGTGGTCAACATGGATACGAGAGGACATGGCTGTGCTCCAGTGCAGCTCTGCTTGCATAGGCAATGAGTGGGCAGGACTGGCCACAGGTCACAAATGAATGTTATGGTACCTCCCAATGATACCATTTCCCATTTCCATGCTAGACTTCAGAGACTTGGGTTCTTAACTGAGGATATAGGGATTGTCACTGACTTAATCTCAAGGGCAAAGCGAGGAGCATTTGAGAAAGGACAGCTTCTGTGAGATCATTTTGAAGACCATGACGTGCCACAGAAAGGTAGCACACATCGTCACAGCTAGTGCAGCGTCACACCGAGGGCACGGTGCCCTAGGAGTGAAAAGGCCATGCTCCATACTTCTCAGCTCAGCCTTCTCCTGAGGATGGCATCATGGGTCTGGTTTGCCATGTGGCACATGCTTAAAAATGTCAGAAGCCTTCTCTCCCCTAACCTACCTCCGTGACCTCTGTAGACAGCAGGATAGATTCCTGGGTTTTTTGCTGGCACAGGCACTAACCCCACCACAGTGATTGTAGTTCTCTCCTCTGCCTCCTGCTCTTCCCCAGGCTGCCTAGGGTCCAAGGGTAGTGCCCCCCAACACTGACGTCACGTGTCAACCACCAATCTTTTAGGCAGGTGCCTTGCCCGACTCTCAAGATTACCCTGAGAATCTGCTGTGTGAGGGGATGTGGGTGAGACCGTGTTTCTGGAAGAGACCTACCATCGTTCCAGTCTCCTCATACAGCCTGAGGAAGTGGACATGGAGGACACCCGGCTGCCATGCAGCACAACGTTCCACATGACAGCTCTCGCCTGGGGAGTTTCTCATCCCGGTGTGGACAGAAAAGACCAGTGGATTGAAAAGCTTTCAGGAAATCTGAAGCTACCCTCAAAATGCACATCCTTCAGAAACTGTTATGTTAATCTATCATCTGAAGCGCTTCTTCTACTGTGTGATGCCGTGTGTATAAAACATCCAGAGCAGGCAAAGGGACAGAGCAGCTGAGTAGCTGTGAGGAGAGGGCTCTGCAGGGCTGGGGAAGTGGCTGCTAATAGAGATGGGGTTGCTGCTGGGCTACGAAAATATCCACACAGTGGTGATGATTGACCAGTCCTGTAAATACACTAAAAACCATTGAATTTTACAGTTTAAGGGGTGAACTGTTCATGAAATTTATTTCAGTGAGTTTTTTTTTAGAAAGTAATTCTTAGTTGGGTTATGAATTTTTTTGAGAAACTGAGGAAAACCAGGAATATCTCACCCAGAAAAATGTTGCTGTGACCCAAGGATTGTGTAACATTTTAGAAGACTTCATGTTCATACTCCTGTGAATTCTACATTTTCAACTCCTAATGTATAGGTCTGTTTTTATTTTTTTTTTAATCTTCCCCCATGGAAAATGGATATTTGATACCAAACTATTTAGAACATTCCTGAAGTAGATACTGGGCCACATTTGGGAAAGTGAACTCTGGATTTTCATACTAACCTGTTTGTGGCCCCTTGAATGGCTCTCTTTAGAAAGACAAGATGGTACAGGAGAACCAGCAAAGGTTTTGGGTAGCTTTGGGAGCAGGCAACCCCTGGACTGTTGTCTACAAAAATGAGCTAAGACTGGGATAGAACTAGGGTAAGGAACACGCGCGCGCACGCATGCACACACCATCAAACTCAGACACAGAGTGCACAGTAGGTACTCAACATGCAGGAATCACATCTAGTGAGCTGGCACCAAGCACTGAGCCAGGGGGCATGAGGAGTGCCATGCCCACCTTGTTCCCCAGGTTGCCGTTGGCTTGCTTCGAGAGGAGCAGTGCCACCATCTCTGCATGGCCCTCCTGCGCAGCCAGGTGGAGGGGAGTCACGCCCTGCACGGACTCTGCGTTCGCAGAGCCCCCGTACTGCAGCAGGCTGCGGGCCACATCCATCTGGTTCTGCTTGGCAGCGATGTGCAAGGGTGTATAGCCATTCTGAAATGGAAAAAGAACCAAGCTTGGGCACAGGAACAACAGGAGTGCCCGAGGGAATGCTCACAGCAGCCCCAAGGCAGGGCCAGTGTCATCCAGGAGAGTCACACAGGCAGCCCAGGCACTCTGGAAACAGGCGGCCTCCAGGTTCTCACAGTCAGCAGGCATCTGCTTTCTCGGCCACCCGTTCTCTGGTGTTCCGCTGAGACAAACAGCTGGGCACAGAAAGCTAGGGTTCAAACAGGCAACCTGCAGAACAGCCCCAAGATGAGGTAGAGGAGGAAGTTAAAGGTCCCCACTTCTCCTTTCCTGCCATAAGAACCCCAAGTCCCCAACATTTCAGAAAGGAAAAGAAGACACAGCCTTTTCTATTTCCCTGTGCTGCTGGCCCCAGGCAGGGTGGTGTAAGGGACTGTGCACTGGCCTGGTTCCACTCCTAATGAAATGTGTAGCCCAGAGCAAGGCAGTCCACCATCCAGACTTGCCTTTGTATTTCTTTTAAGTCACTACAAGTAGATAATAACATCTACCTTCATTATTTTAAACTGTTGGGTAGATCAAATATGATAATACATAAGAAGGCACTTCCCCCAATTAAGACACTGAAGCACTGAGCAATGATGGAGCCTTTGTCGCACCATGGTTCACAAGACAGTATCAATCCCGAGGCAGACGGAAAAGCACAGCCCTAGATGTCAACTATGGCTCTCTCACTGTGTGCTGTCCATTCAGCTAAGGTTTCTGGTTGCAAGGCTTGCTCTGTGAAGGAAGCAGTGCCTGGGTTTCTGTCCAGAGGAAGCTCCTTGTCCAGCACAGACAGCTGGGTCTGCAGAGGGCATGCTCTGGTCATCATCGTTAGGCACAAGATCCCTCCAGCATGTTTTGAGCTTCCCCACAACCATGTAAAGCAACACCAGCCTGTTTATTCTGTCCAATGCCATGGATCAGGAGCCAGTTCTCTGCAGTGTGAAGTGTCCTACCTACTTCACACAGTGGTAAACGACAGCCGAGCCGAGCACAGAGCAGGGCTTCCTGAACTGCAGTGTGTGCAAAATCTCCCAAGGGAGATCGCTCAGATGCAGATTCTAGTTCACAAGCACTGAAGAAGACTCAGACTGCATCCCACGGCCCATGATCCAAGCAGCAAGGCCCAGAAACTCTAGGATGTGGGGCCCAGCCCCTCAGGACATGGCGAGCGGTAACAGGCTTCCTCTTCCGGCCTGGCCAGCAGCCCTCCGCTGTCCCGGAGGGCGAGTTCTCCACCTCCACCCCAGACCCTGTTTCACTGTGGCAACCAACATTGCTCTGCCAGGATCCCTGGCAAGGAAAAGGGAAGGGGAAGGCAGGGATGGTTATCAATATGGTAAAATGCTAGTTACATAGCACTGGGCACCACGGAAAAGAACAGCAAGGTGTGTAAACTGGCTCTTACGGGGAAATTAAAAAGTTACACCTTACTCCCCAAATTAAATTCAGTGGATAATTTCTCTGTGCAGAATTCCTCCTCCTTAACTGGATTATATTATGAAAATACACAACACTCTTTGGGGGTCATGTTCAAATGACAATATTGGCATTTTGATTATAATAAAATTAAGCAAAATGATTTTTATACTGTATCAAAACAAAGGAAAGGAACTGTGGTTCAAGGGCCAAACCTAAGACACAGAGCTGCCTCCAAACGCAGATCCTCACTCTCTAGGAAGAGCAGCCTGCACTGTGGTCATGGACCAGCACAGGAGTCCCCAGAGCTTGGGCAGCTGTGGGTGTCGGTGCTGGCAGAACAGCACCCATCCCAGCAGGGGCAAACCTGCCAGCAGATGGCTACGGCCACCAGGTCACCTCAGGTCTAAACCAAGGGACAGGAGCAACTGCCAAACTCAGGACAAGACCTCCGACCTGGCGCTGCCTCTCGATCAGGACTAAAGGGAATGGTGACCTCAGTGGGGGACAAGGACAACAGCAAAGTGGCCAGAGGTCAGGAAGAGGTCAGGGAGGGATGTGTGTCTGTCCAAGGCTCCTGTTTCCCAGGAAATGAGCTCATCCGAAGGAATGCAGCCACGGCAGGGCTCTGCCTGATCAGCACAGTAGTAGCATCAAATTAGGAAGGGGCGGGTTTGGTTTGGGTGTGCAGGGATTTGCATGCGAAATTCTACAAAACTGCCAGACTACTTTGGGAACTATTTTTTGCCATGGAAACAAAACCCATCTGTACAGGGTTTGTGCTTGCATTTAGCTCTCTTTAAATATCATGGACCTGGCTCCAGTTCCTTTTGTATAAGTAGGCAAGTGAGGAGGAGGAGGAGGGGAGTCTGGCTTTTTATTTTTAGAAGCAGGAGTAAGGCAACATCTTAGCAGGACCACATGCTCTCTCTGCATGGTGACGCGTGGCTGCTGTGACAGCGGCAGGGATGGGAGTCCCAGGAGCCCAGTGAGACAAGGCCATGAGGCTAAGGGGAACATCGTGCTAAGGAGAGAACACTTGTGGAAATGCAGCACAGATTCCACCCCCGCAAGGAAGTCCAGAGGGGCCCCCACCCTCGGCTGCTTCCTCTACAGCCCCCACCTCAACCAGCGCAGCCTCCTCGACTGCATGTGTCTCTAGAATGCCCAGCCTTGTGCTTCTGCGCCCATAGCATCTGGGCTACAGACACAGGCCCCACATCGCCCTCACTACTGTCCCTGGGCCGAGGGGCAGCCCATTCCCTAAAATGCTCTTTCCATATTCTGGCTCTATCCTCGTCTTGCTCCAAACCCCAACCTGGCCTCCTGCAAGAGGCCAGCATGCTGGACATTGGAAGAGACACAGGCAGGTTAACAGAAAGCTACAGTCTTCCTGTCAGAACACCCACATTCAGAAGAGCTTCTCGCTTCATGGTTCCCACAAGCTCCCTGTACCCCATGCTCCTCCAAGGGGCCATGGCCCCAGTTCAGCCACCGCAAGGGCAGGGGCAAGGTGGGACTTCCTTATCCCCCAGCTAGGGTTTCTGGACCAAGGCTCAGGAGATGCTGAGGTACCTGACCTTTGGCAGGCAGCTTACCAGACTCAGCTGGCACACAGCCACCAGGGACCTGCTCCGTACATAAAGTGAACTCCACCTCCACAAGGGAGCCTACTGTGGACATATTACCCGCATCCCATCCCTCTCCTGGCCCCTACGCGGCAGCACCAATGCTGTAGGTAACTTTTAGGAAAGCGAGGTGAGATGTCTGAGATAGGAACGCACACCCTGGGGGCCTTACCCAGGCAGGGCTGTGCGGGGAGCCACCCTGGGGCAGCAGCAGCTTCACGATGTCCAGGTTGTTGTGGTGAACAGCCACGTGCAGGGGCGTCAGGCCATTCTGCAGAGGATGAGGCCGGAAAAAGGAAACCCTCACTTGGGTGGACTTGCCACAGAGAGCCCTTTGGGGACACAGGATCCACTTTGAGATCCACAGCACTTATTTCATATGGGTAAAATCTGGCTAGAAATCCATCTAAAGCCAGGCTGGCCAGGGTGTAGCTCAGGGGCAGGGTACTTGCCTAGCACATGTGAGGCCTGGGTTCTATCCCCAGCACCACAAAAAATAGCGTTTAAAAAGAAAGCTCCATCCAAGCCAGGCTTGTCTGGGAGTCACTAAGGACACCTGTAGCAGGACCCAGGGCCATCCCTCACCTCTCAGGGCACCTCAGGGAACCCTCCCCATGGGACAGGGTGGAAAGGTGCTCTCCAGAGGCTGAGCCCCCAGAACACCTCTCACTAGCAGGCGGCAGCACTGGCAGGCGAGAGAATTCACAAGTGGTGCCCTCGGCTCCTCTAACTCCGGGTTAGGCCAGGGTTAGACACTCACTTTGCCAGCAGCATTTGGGTGTGCTTCGCGTTTCAGCAGCAGCTCAGCCACCCGCGCCTTCCCATACTTGGCTGCCACATGGAGAGGGGTAAATCCTTTCTGAGAAGAAACACAGGCCATCAGACCCCGGAGTTGGCACCGTCTGCCCTGACGGAAGCCGGGGCAGGAGGCTGTCCCCTTTAGCAGCCTGGGGATGCCAGTCCGACCAAGGGTGCCTCAGTGGGGATCCCCTGAGGCTGAAGCTCCAGGAACCCGCAGTGCAGTCCCACCCCTGAGATCTCTCCAGGAGGAGACATCTGTGGGGACTGTCACCAACTGCCAGCCCACCGACGGCAATCTGTGATTAGTCCAGTAGGTGCTGGCAATCAGGCCATGAGAAATGGGCATAGGCTACGTGGGTGACAGAGCCTGGCTCCCTGCCCTTTCCCAGGGAGCAGACAACACTATGGGCTTATGAGGGTGACCAGTTCTAGGGGTGCCACCCTAGCTCAGCTTCTGGGTCTCAGTGTGTTCCCAGGCTGGTCCTGAGCCAGTGGATGGGAGGCGCCCGTCACTGTGCCGGGCCAGCCTGTGCTCAGTCAGGACAGGTGGAAGAAGGCTGTACCTTGGTCATGCAGGCCTGAGACGCCTCCTTTTCCAGCAGGGCCAGGGCTGTGTCCACATGGCCCTCTCGGGCTGCGATGTGCAGAGGAGTGTGCCCAGCTGTGGTGGCCAGGTTGGGGTTGGCGCTGTTTTCCAGCAAGAGTTTCACTATGTTTGTGTGACCGATTCGAGCTGCGCAGTGAAGTGGGGTCTGGTCGTCCTGGGCCCCACAATGACAACAGAGAACAGGACATGTTAATGTTACCCAACCCAACTCTGCGTAGTGGTGGTGGTGAGGTCACTAGGGAGAACTGAAAGACATCCCCAGCCCCTGTTAGTTTTAAATTTTTATTTTAAGATAGAGTCTCACTAAATGCCTAAGTTCCTCAGGCTAGGTTGGAACCTCTGATTTTCCTGCCTCAGCCAAAGAGGCTCAGTGACTTTCTCAAAATTACATAGCCAAGAAGACAAAAAGCTGGAATTTGAATCACATCCCTGAGTTACTCAAACCTATGTGCTCCATCTTTTTTCAATTCTACAACTCCTCAAGTGAGTTGTTATTTCTACTTAATTGCCCAAAGGCTCAGCCTTCCCATCTGTAAAATGGGAATCTACCTCACAGAGTCAGGGTCAGGATCTGGCCACATGACAGACACTCAATAAACTACAACTGCTATGCCATCTCCCTGGTTCTTTCTGGGGGCCTCCTCTCTAATTTGATTTTCTCTCGGCCAGACGTCATGGCAGAGCCTGAACTGCAGGTGGGAGAAGGCTGCCCCGCCTCTGATTTACAGCTAAAGGCACAAGGGCTCCACAGATGAAGTCTCTGCTTTATTGGGCTTACATGAAAGTATGGCCCAAACAGATCCAATTCTAACCCCAGGCCCTTGGCCTGCAGCGAGGAAATCCTGGTTCACGATCACCTGCTTGCAAACTTGTCAGAACCTGACAGAACATTTACAACAAGGGATCCTCCACCTTGGGGTCTACTGAGTCCTGACCATCCCCGGGGATGCTGTCCTTCTTATCCTGCCACTGATCATTAGCCCAATGACATCTGCTGCCCACCCACACTCCTCAAACTTCCACTATTCTACAGAAACACAACTCTGAGGGAAAAAAAGACCTCTGGCCTTGTCAAAACCCCTGCAAAGCAGAATCTGAGCTTCCTGAGACTTAAAGGGAAAGACAAGTGATGCAGAACCAAAGCCCTGCAACCCTGGTTAAGGAAGATAGAGGCCCCACTTGAATTCCTGCCCTGCAGGAGCCTTCCTCCACCCACAAAGCACCTTGGCCTTGGCGTTGACTTTGGCTTTGTTCTGGAGCAGATATTTAGCCACTTCTGTGTGCCCTGCTCTGGCTGCCATGTGTAGCGGGGTCTCCACTTTCTGTAAAATAACAAAATTACAGAACAGTTAATATGTGCTGGGTTTGTCACAGGATATACACAGGCTCCAAAGAATCAGGCTGGAAAAGCTTGGGGGGGTTTTGTCCAAGAGATGGAGTTGCACCAGCAAACAGCTCTTCAGCCTGCTAAGTGTGTGCGTGCATGTGTGTGTATTCTAGGTCTACTTAAAAGTAAACCTCAGAGCTAATGAATATTTAAAACTGTAAACATATTTCCAGGTAACACAGAAGTTCCAAAGTGTCCAAAATGAGGTTCCAAAGACTGACAGACATGTGACAAATGTAACTGGAGAGCAGAGAAGGCGAACCTTTAAGCTTCGATGATACAAACAGCCTGCTGTGGCCATAGGTTCGCCACCACAGCTACTGAGGAATGTGCTCCCCATGTCTAAAGCCTTCACCACCTGAGAATTTCACCTCTATCCCCAGAAGGGAGACTTGGGGAGCACCTACCACAGCTGCCCCCTGGAAGCCCGCCTGTCCCCAAGAGCTTACCACGTTGGAAGCGTTGGGGGACGCCCCCCGCTGCAGGAGGTTCTTCACAATGGGCAGGTGCCCCATGAAGGAAGCCACGTGGAGAGGAGTCAGGCCAGACTAGAAGGGACAAGAATGGAGGGAGTGGGTGGGGCTTCCACCTAATACTAGGTGCTCGGGGCTGCATCTCCAAGAGGAAGGAGTTAAATGAGGTAGGTTTGCATTCAAAACAAAGGCTCAAGGAACAAAACCACTGGAGAGAACATTCTGCCCACTTCTACCACTCAAAAAATTGCTTTGGATCTTGCAAAGCTCTCTGAGGCTTGAAAGGTTCCCATCTCAGTCCTGATTCAGTCTGTTGACCAGGCGTACACACACACGCACACACACACACACATACACACATGCATACGTGTATACACACCTGCAGCCACAGGCAGCTATGAAGGAGAACTAGCTCTCAGAGAAGGCAAGGGCTCAGGGAGAGATGCCAGTGCAGAGCCAGGGCCCATATCCTACCTCGGTGACTGCCTCGATGGAAGCCCCTGTCTTGAGCAGCAGCTCCATGACACGGACATGGTTCTTCTTGCAGGCGATGTGTAGGGGAGTGAAGCCATTCTGCAGCCCCACACAAAGGGAGACCAGTGTCAGGGTTACACACGAGCTCAGGGGCACATGGGGACTGCATGGCCACCCCGATGCCCCCAGACCAATGAATAAATGCATGTCCCTGGGTTGATCTTGTGATGCCTGCTAGAGTAGATCACATAAGAAACAGGTAGCTGTGGCTTTGTGTACAGGGCGTATTCTTGAACACACTGTTTAGGAAAATTCTATCATATTTCTGGATGTACTCTGTAAAGCTCCCTTAAGGCTAAATTTACAACGAAGAGTACTTTTCAGAAGCAAATCATGTTCCTTCTGCCCTGAAACCGCTGATGGTTTTGAGTGAGATTTTGCTCTGAAGTGACATTTTGGAATGTAAACTTTGTAAGGGCAGGGCAAGGCCTTTTGTTTGTATTTTCAGTGTTTTTTTTTTCTCAAACTAAGGCCTGGTTCTCAAAAAAAGGGGAAGTGGTGTGTGGGGAGAGGGGATAGTCTGCGCCCTCCCCTGACTGACCATGTCTAGAAACACTTCTGGGTTTCACAACTAGAAGAGCTACTAGTGCCCAATGGTAGGGGCCCAGGATGGTGCCCAGGACAATGCAGAGCAGCTCCAAATGTCAACTGTCCTGAGGTCAAACCTCAGACAACCGAGTGTGGGGCTGTGTCCAGGGCTTGAGGGACATTGTAGAATGAAAGCATGATGGGTCCTCTACTGCTGCCCGGGGACACCTGGCCTGTCAGCTCTTCTCTGGTGATGGGCAAGGGCGTGAGGGGCCGTGCATGAGCTCTGCGCAGACAGATGGTCCGCCAGGTCCCAGATGCCTGGGAGCTCTGGCCTGGGTGACTAGGGACAGGAATGGGGCCATAGGAGGCACCTAAGGTGCCACCGTCCCTCAGCTCTGATGCCCCAGCCTATGTATACAGCATGCACACCGCTGCCTGAGTCAGCTCTTTGGGCACAAACCCAGCCCTGATGTCAGTAGTGTCCCTGGAGGCACCTTGCTACACCTAGACCAGGCCCTGGGGCCTGCAGCCCCTTCTCCCATCGCCACCTACTCACCAGGGCTCTGGAGTTTGGCTTGGCCCCTTTATCCAACAGGATCTTGGCCACCCTGTGATGGCCGCAGTGGGCTGCCACATGGAGGGGGGTCAGGTGGTCCAGGGTGATGTCATCTATCTCTGCATTGTATTGCAACAGAAGTCGGACACAGTCGAGGTGGTCTCCCTGAGCCGCCATGTGAATGGGGGACAAGCCATTCTGAATGAAGAAGAAACAAGCAATCACAAAGCCTTCTAGGAAAGGAGCACAGAAATTCAGGATAATGGCGCCTGAGTCAGACACCAAGTGACAAACGAGTGACACTGAAGTGACAATGTCACTTCCTACTGCTCTAACTTGGATCCTCAGTGAGCCTCCCTCTTCCTGCTGGCCTCTGAGCACACATTCCCCTCACACAGCTGAATCCTTCACACCCTGTCCAGCCAGGCCTGCCTCTTCCACGAAGCCTCCCCTGCGCAGCCTGGGCCTGAGAGCTTTCCCGAGCTCCACCAGCCACCAAAGGAGGCCTCAGCCCCACACATACTGAGCCTCGCCAGGCACAGTCGCCTTGCAGGTATCCTTCCTCCCGACTCACAAGGTTCTTCATGCCTGATGTTTCTAAAATGCACCTGGTGCCCTGGAAATGCCTATGTCACATATAGCTCCAAATGTCAACTGTCCTAAGGTCAAACCTCAGACAACCGAGTGTGGGGCTGTGTCCAGGGCACAAAATTTTGGGGTCTAAATTTTTCTGCCCTTTGCCCCAGTATATACACACCATGACTGTGAGTGGGCATGCGTTCTGCCTTGCTTTACTTTGACAGGCTTTTAAATTCACCCCAAATGACAGGCAAAGGGCCTGCAGGAGAGATAGTCAGCACTGTGGGGCAACAGCCTGAGCCCCTCACAGAAACCCAAGTCTTCATATTAGAACTTAGAAATGAGCTTTGCTCCAGCTCCTGATGGAGTCTGAGAAGAACAGTTTTGTTTGTGTGTGTGTGTGTGTGTGTGTGTGTGTGTGTTACTGGGCTTTGAACCCAGGGCCTTTGCACTGAGATATGTCTATAGCCCTTTTCTAGTTAAATTTCTTATTTCGAGACAAGGTCTTGCTAAGTTTCCCAGGTTGGGCTTGAACTTTTATCCTCCTGCCTCAGCCTTCCAGAGTGCTGGAGTATAGGTATGTGCAATCACGTCTTGCTAGTGTTCTCTCTCTCCCTCATTTCCTCTCTCATTCTATCCCTTCTTTTTTTGGAGGCTGTACTAGGGATTGAACCCAGGGCCTTCATGCTAACCTACATTCCTGTCCCCTTTTTATTTATTTATTTTACTTCACAACAGGGTCTAAATTGCTAAATTGCCTAGGCTGGGCTCAAGTTTGCAATCCTCCTGCCTCAGCCTCCCAGAATGCTGGGATTATAGACATATACCACCAGGTTACCCAGCCTGGCTTTTTTCTTTCTAGTTTCACTTCCATCTGGTCCAGGCTCTGCAGATTTATAGAGTTTTTAGCTCCTGTCTTTCAAGGAGCTAGAATGAAACACATAGGGATTGATTTAGAGAAGTAGGCGAACTACAGCCAGGGGCGGAATCTGGCCTACTACCCGGGTTTGTGAATAAAGTTTTATTGGCACAGGGCCACTACTTTGCATATTGCTCAGCGTTATGTTTCTGTTCTATTAGCACAATTTAATTATTGCAACAGAGTACGCCCTGCAAAGCCTAAAAATACTTAATATGTTTAGATAAAAATCTTGCCAGCTTTGACGAGTATGACAAATAACGTCACAGTCATGGTTGCTTTTAGTTGTTGTTTTTTTTTTTTTTTTGGTTTTTCTCCGGTACCAGGAACCGAACTCACGACCTTACGCTTGCCAGGCAGGCGCTTTTGCCGCTGAGCTAAATCCCCAGCCCTGGTTGCCTTTAGTTGTAATAGCATCTCTCTTTTCTAAACATGGGAATCCCTCCCAGCTGCACGTGACCGGGAGCACGGCCTGAGAGACCTCCTCCCAGTAGCAGTGCACAGACCTTGGTTTTGGCCTGGATGGGTGCCCCATGGTCGAGCAGGATCTCTGAGATGCGCACGTGCCCATTCCGAGCTGCACAGTGGAGAGGTGTCAATTCATCCTGTAGAAGACAGAGTGGAAAACAGAAAGCCAAAGGCACCTGTCAGAGGCCACGAGGGAGCAGCGGGATGCAGAAGGCCAGTGCTTTCCTCAGCCAGCCCAGCTTTATCCCTATGCCCGCCTCTGCAGACAGCCGGTCCCCAAGAGGCTCATGAGGTGGAATCCCTCCCCACCCCATCCAGTGCAAAGGGTTCTGGGACCCACCTTGGTCCTCGTTTCTATCTGTGCCCCTCGGTCCAGCAGGAGCCGCACCATGATCACATTTCCCCTGCGGGAGGCGATGTGCAAAGGCGTGATGCCATTCTGCGGGCAGGAGCAGGCTGGTCAGGGAGCGGTGTCCTTCTCTCCATGACTGTGCCCTCCCTCCCCACCCACTCCCACCCGCAACCATTGCAGGATGAGCAGCAGGAGGCCTCCCAGACTCCGGGGCTGTCTTCCCACAGGCTTCTCTGCAGCATGCACAACTCTACAGCTGAGCAAGAGACGGGCACCACAGTCCCGACATGCTGGAGAGGAGCAGGTGAGGGTACCTGTGGCGTGAAGTTGACGCTGGCGCCCCTGTTGAGGAGGAGCTGGGCCACACTGAGGTTCTCATAGTGGGCAGCGATGTGCAGTGGCGTGAACCCCGTCTGGGCACAATAGAGAAAGGAAACCTGTCACCTGCGGCTACCAGCACCTTCAGCTGGGATAGCCCAGGGTTTCTGGAGGACTCAAGACATACAGCAATCTGTGACAGTGGCAATATTTGCAGAGGAGCCAAGAGACACTTGTGGCAAGTTGTGTTGCAAAGTGAGGCACACCTCCGGGTAACCATGCTTTGGCTTACAAGCACCCAGGCAAGTGTTCACAGGGCGGATTCAAGTGTCAAGGTGGGGCAGGGGGTCCCCTGGATGGCTACTTATAAAGAGATCTAGTTCATGGATGAAGGTGGTGTGGCAGTCAGATTCTCAGATGATTCAGCTGCCCACCCCCAGGCAACCTCTGACCCTCTGATCCTGTTCTGTGTCCTCACATCACATCCGTGTCCAGTCGGCCTCGTTCCAGACCAAACCGGGGGTGGGGAGGGGTCTACATAACAAACTGCAAATCCACCCCATGGAAGAGACTGCCTACAGGCGCCGGCAGTGGGTCCGCAGTGCCGGGTACTGTCTGACAATGCAGGAGAGTGACTGGCCAGGCCTGCTGGGGAGCCCCTTCCCCACACTCCAGCCCCTGCATGGTGGGACACTTCCTCCTTGCTGAGGGAAGAGGTGGGGGGAGAGTAGACAAAAGTCAGGAATGCCACCTCCTGAGGCTCCAGGGGACCCCCTTCCCCACCCAGACGCTTGGATCCATCCTGTGAGCACCTGCCTGGGTGCTCGCCAGCATTGCCCGTGCACAGTGGATCGTCGAGGGTCTGGCTCACTTACAGGAAAGAGCAGGGAGGGGCTGTGTCTTTACCCTGTCACGGTTCCCCCAGTGTGGCCGGCAGCTCCCCAGGCCCTCACCTTAGAAAGCACATCTGGGTTGGGGTCGTTCTGCAGCAGCACAGCAGCCGTCCGTGTGTCGTCATTGCGGGCTGCAATGTGCAGGGCCGGAAGGCGCACCTTGCCTTTCGTTCCGTAGTTGATGAGGTGGGCCACCACATTCTCGTGGCCCTGCTGCAGAGCCACCGCCAGTGGGGTGAAGCCATCCTGCAAAGGAGGGGCAAGACCAGCGTGCCTGGGCTGGAAACAGGATACAGACTTCCACCTTGGATTCTTGCTCACAGGGGTCCCAGACTGAAATGCCTCCTCTAGCGCTGCTCTGCCTGTGAAGCCCGCTCCCTCCTGCAGGCTCAGCTTACACACCACCTCCTCCCAGGGGCCTTTCTGGGGCCCACTTGCTTGCTCCACCTTCTCACAGGGCCTGCAGTGATTTTTCTTTAGCCTTAACTTTCCTTACTTTTGGTTCCACCTGAATGTGTGCTATGAAAGTCTTTTTTTTTTTTTTTTTTTTTTTTTTTAAGGTATTGCGGATTGAATTCAGGGCCTTTGCACAGAGTTACATTCCCAACCCTTTTCATTTATTTATTTGTTTTTATTTTGCAACAGAATCTCATTAAGTCACTTACTACATTGCCCAGGATGGGATTAAACTTGCAGTCTTCCTGCCTCAGCCTCTCAGAGTGCCAGGACTATGGGTGTAAACCACCATAGCCAGCTTATGAGAGACTTTTTACTGCTCCTTATTTTTTGGCGTAAGTTCCCTCTCATTCCATCTTCTGGTACCAGTATTGAGCCTTGAAGATGGCAGAATATCCCCAAACACCCACCACACACTAGAAACCAAGTCAGGCCCAGAGCACGGGACTGTGAGCTACTAATATTAATTGCCTTGGCTGCATGTTCCCTTGAGCATTCTGGGACCCCGTGAAGTGGTGAAGCTGCAACAAAGTCATACAGTCACTGAGCCATGCAGTGCCAAGCCCCATCTAGCCCCACCCTACCATTCACAGGCAAGTCTATGACCAGAGGTAAGAGGACTTTCTCCAGGGCATGCCATGGGTTTGCAACAAGACCCCTTCTCAGAAGGCCCCAGGCAGCCTGTCAGCCTGACATAACCAGCACCCGCCTGCCAGCCTTCAGTGCTGGCTATGGTGGGAATGATGTCCTAGAGTCCAGCGTCATTTCTTTGCTATGTGCCTGGGCCTTCCAAGACCTGTGACCTCATCCCTCATTCCCTCACAGTACCCAGGGACACCCAGCACCAGTTCTGGGGCCTATAGTCCTGGAGCACTAACACTTGACCTCCATTGCGATGCATGTGGCAACGATGTCACATACCCAGATGTCTCCCGTGGTACTCACTTCTGTGGCCACATTCTGATTGGCTCCATTTTCCAGTAAGAACTTAACCACTTCCAGGTGATTCTCTTGTGCTGCCATGTACAGGGGTGTGAAGCCTTTCTGTAAACCCAGAGAAAAGCCATTGAGGGACACAAAAATGGGCAGCCCCCAGAGAAGGACAGTTTCCTCTTCATCTCCATTCAGTTCCATCTGTGAGAATCTGCTGTCACTCTGAACTGGACTGGTGGAATTATTACAGAAGGCCACAAGGTGGGGACGCACCCTGCGGATGCCTTTCACCCCTTCCCGCTGGTCAGTCTTAGGCTCGTATGCTCCCCTCTGCTTTTTCTCCTTTCTTCACTAAGTCTTCCCTAGCACACATAAAATTTATCTCCCTAACTGAGTCATAACTAAAAGTATTATAAGGCTGATTTATTGAACAGACACCGAGTCCACAACAACCCCACCCCAACCTATAGAAGAACCATTAAAGAGTGAGAAAGGGTGGATAACACAGTGCTAATAACCCTAGACTGCCAGTGTATGTGTGTGTAGGGGGCTCTCTCATTGTATAGCAGGGATGGGAGCATGTGGCGGTCACCTGGGACTGGGCATTGACGTTGGCACCATAGTTGACCAGCTCCCGGACCACCTCGTTCTGGCCAGCAAGTGCAGCGATGTGCAGAGCGGTGTTTCCTTTCTGGAACACAAGAAGGGAGGGACAGAGAAAGTTCCCTGACCGCCACAGGGTCAGAAGCAAGGCTGAATCCCAGCTGCCTTTCCTTAGGTCGCAGGGGGTAGAACATGCACATGTGCACCTGGCCTATCACACATCTGTAATAGCACTGAAATGTGGGGAGAGAAAGTTTTAGGTGACCTATGAACAACAGTGCTGCATGTAAGAATGCATGCAGACACTACTTCCTCACCCTGGCCCCACTGCACACAGGGGTGTGTGACCAGCCCAGCCTTTGTCCCCAAGGACATGCACCACGAGGTGGAAGGCAGGCTGGCCTCTGGGACCCGCAGCTCCACTCAGCGAGACACAGAGCCTTGGGTGGACCAGGAGCTGTGGGAAAGGGCAGCAGGCACCACGGCACAGCAACCTCCATTCTCCTAAGGGGCGAAGGCCACAGAGGATGAGCCAGGAGGCAAGTATTGAAGAAAAAAGGCAAGGGTGAGAAGCGCTCTATGATGTCCTGGGGAAGAGAAGGAAAATACGAAAACAAATGCGGAGACATCAATGGAATAAAATCTGGCAAAGGAAATATAAAGAAAGAAGATTCAAAATATTAATAAGTAAAACCGGATGAGCGAGCTTTTGCCAAATTGGAAAGGAGAGAAACAGATAATAAACCCTGGGAGAAAAATGAAGCACAGAATTGTTTTAAATGCTTTGAAAAATAAGAACCAATAATAAGCAGGTGAGGTAGCACATGCCTGTGTTCCCAGCTACGCAGGAGGCAGAGGCAGGAAAGCCACTGTCATGGCCCAAGCAGATGCCTTGCACCACTGGCACTGGCTCCCTTATTCAGGGACATCCTGGGCTCAGGCTCTACACAGCACTTCCATCAAATAGGGCAGGTGGAGAACATAGGGCCACAGCCGTACCCGTCTATCTCTGTGTCACCTAAGTAGCAGAGATTACAGGCGACTTCATCTCTGATAGCTCAGTTGGGCCCTCAAAGCCTTGGATTCTGAATCTCAGGATTCTAAATCTTGGCCTGAAAGTAGTAGGAAAGTACTGCACCTGTACTGAACACATACAGACTTTGTTCTTGTCATTATTCCCTAAATGATACCATACAACAGCTATTTACTTAGCACTTACGTTGTGCTAGACATCCTACATCATCAAGAAATGATGTGGTCTATTGGAAGATGTAAGTCATGCCATTTGATATAAGGGGTCTGAACATCCTAGATTTTGGTACCTGTGTATTTCCTGGAACCAATTCTTCCAGGATATAGAAATATGAGTATATGTGGTTTTTAAACTAAACTACATGGACAATCCATTTTCAGAGGTGACAAGCAGGGACTTCAAGCCTTGTCCCTGATTGTGGCCATCTGTCACCTACACAAGCAGCTTCCTCACCAAGGGGGAACTAGGTGGCAAAGGCCAGGTTCTGTGGCTACATGGCCAGTGCTACCCGTGGGTCTTAGGTGGAGGGTGCCTGCAGGCAAGCAGGAGCTCAGCTCTTCATTTTTTGAACTTTGGTTTATTTAGGTGCCAAAACCTGTATCAGGCAGAAGTTTCCTGTTCGTTGCCACCCAAAGCTGGCTTTTTAATTTCTCCTTAAATCCTATTTGATAAGCACAAGGCTTCTTTGTCAAACGTTCATCAGAGAATAAACATCAGAAATAAATTATAGATGCTAGTTAATAATTTTTCATGGAAGCCTAAAGAACCTACTTGGAGAGCTTTGGCACCTGGGTCCAAAAGCTCTCCTGCTTGGTCCTAGCTAGGTTCCATTCACTGTCCTGAGTGGAACAGGCCTGTGGGCACCAGAGGCTTCTCTAAAAACCAGGACTCCAAGCTGCATGTGGAGCCCACCATCTCCCGTGGACAAGGAGGGGGGCAATGTCCCTTCACATGGCCGGGAACACATATTGTGAGGGTGTGTGTTCCCGGAAGGCCAGGCACAGGGCATATGAGACTTGGGTTGCTGCTCATCTGTCCCAGACGCATCTGTCCAAGGCTTCTTTCCGCCTGACTCCCCCACCTGAAGTCTGCCCACGGCAGCCTTCCTCTGTCTGGGAGAAGGGGAGGCCCTCTCTCTTTTGGCAAGTGGTGCCTGTGGAACCCTGGCTGCAACTCTCGGCTCATGCCATAGGGTGGAGGGCAGCACTGGTGAGAAGTGGGGTAAAGGGAAGGCCCTGGGGAATGGGCCTCTGCCCACTGTGTCTATGCATACACACACACACACCCTGCAAAGCTCAAGAAGGCCAGTGCCCTGCCCCAGGGAGTCACAAGGCTGTGGCCTGCCTCTGTGTTCCCTGTCCCTCTCTCAGCATGGAGGAACTGGGCCTCGAAGGACCAGGAGAAATCACTGGAGCTCCATTTTGATCCAGCTTCTCTGTTTTCAGGGACTCACAGAGCCAGAGCAGGGCGGGGGTGGAACCGGTGCCCACAGCAGGTGAGCAGAGGGAAGCTTGCCCTGCTCGCCAGTCACAGGGAGTGGGTGTGTTCGATTCATGCTTTCACACTTCTCAGCACAGCTTAGGAGCCTAGATTGGTTTTGGCTTCTTGTTGTTTTTTATTTTTAATCTCTCCCAGGCGTGGGAGACCCACTGCAATTCCTCAATCTGTTGGGAGTCTTCCTTAGCCCACGGTTTGAGTTTCATTCCCCACTCGCTTCTGTGTGGCATTTCCATACAGGCAAAACACACGGGCTTCTAAAATTTCTATAAATAAAGACACACCAAATGTTCACTGCAAAACAACAATCAAAGAGCGGAATGTGGAGAGAGTAAAAGTGCTGAAGCACAATGTTTTCACAGTTCTTGGGGAGGTGCCAGGGAAGAGCGGCCGTGGGCTGCGCAGAGCCTGTCAGGTGGTACATAGCTTACAGCCAGGTACAGAAAAGCATCAAAAAAACAATCAGAATCACAGCCCTTCATTCAGGGGAAAAACAGGGTTGGAAGAAAAGGTCCCAATCTACAGCCAGAAAGAGCAGCTTGGTTTATTTTACCAACGAGTGCAAGTGAGATCTTTTCACATTGAGGAAATGACATGAAAATTATAGAATTTTACCTCGAGAGACAATTCTACCTTCATAATATTTTGGTAGTGCACTTCGCACCCATAAATTATATCTGTTCTCTACATATTGTTCTTCTGTATTCTCTGCTTGAGAGGCAGCAAAATGCTTGCTGCAAGGAGCTGAAATTGAGGCGTGTGAGACCCCTCTTCCCAAATAGCAGATGGGAAATAGGTGGGGGGAACTCAAGCACACAAAAGGAGAAGCACAGGGCAGAAGAGAAAGGAGTCAAGGAGACAATGCTTGCACTCATAAATGGAGATGATTTTTTTTGTTTAATGATCAATTTCGCTTTTTAAACTCTGCCTGTACCTGTTTAATAAACAAGTTTAAGAAATAAAACAACTTAGACGCTCTCCTACAGTCCTCAATAACAAGTCACCGATATTTACTGATCCCTTCCTACACGCCTATGTGTGCTTTATGTACACCACTGCACTGTGACTGAGGATTACACTCCCCACGTTACACATGAGAAAACTGAGGCAAGGCCAAAGGTCACAGGGCAGGGAAGCGACTCAGCTGGGATTTGAACCTGAGGCTCCTGACTCAGAAGATTCTGGGACTCTAGGTCCCTGTATGAGTCAACAGATCACGAAGCTACCAGGAAGAGGGTTAGAGACTCAGAGCTGGTGACAAGGAAAGTAAACTTTCTGAAAGCAGGGCCCTGTGTGTCAGGTGGCATCAGGGACTTGGTGAACTGGGAGACGACTGGAAGGACAAAACAAACACAGGCACACACTTGGGTTTCTCTCCCAAAAAGTATGGCTTCTAGGCCAGTGTTTGGGATAATACGAAAAGGCCCCACAGCCTGGAATTCTCAGTGCAAAGAACCCCCACTTCCCGTGAGACGTACCTTGGTTGTTGTTTCTAAAATGATCTCCTTGTGCAAAAGCTCAACCACCATCTTCACATGGCCTTCCTTGGAGGCCAGATGCAAGCCATTCAGCCCATTCTGCAAAGACACGGGTGGGAGGCACAGCTTAGTGGGCTCTGCAAGCCTACCTTTCCAAGGGGCTGGGAGGAGGATGGGGCCAGCGTGCTGGGCTGTGGTCTGCAGGGGACTGAGCAGTCTACTCACTCACAGAGCACAGAGCTCCAGTCTCCCCAGACACCCACGGTGTAGGAGGGAGCACGGGGACCAGGACAGCAGAGACAGAAAGGATGGTCACAAGATCATATTCCCTGGACATCAGTGAAGGTGGGGAAGCATTCCCAAAACCAGTGAGGGGGCTCGCGGTTCAGATCTCGGACAGTCTTCAGGCATTGCTGTGGTTTGGAAGTGGCCACTAGAGACCCACAGTGGTGCAGCCTTTAAGAGGTGCGGCTGACTTGGAAGAAGTTAGGTTCCCAGGGGCCCTTGAGAGGGATACTGGGGTGCATGTCCCCCTGCCCTCCGTCTCCCTTTTTCCTGGCTTCTAAGAGTGCAACAGCATCCTCTACCACATATTCCCGCCACAACATACTGTGTCACTGTGGGCCAAAGCAACAGGGCCAAGTGACCAGGGGCTGAAACCTCGGAAACCATGAGCCAAAATAAACCTTCTTCCTTGTTAAGTTTATTTTCTCAGATATTTTGTTCTAGTGATGGAAAGTGCACTAACATAAGCATCACATGTAATTGAAATGGGTAATAAAGCTTCAGTGCCTGGGTCAGTTTTTACAGCAGTGACCAGGAAAAGCAAAGAGATGATTCCATTGCATCTTTGACATCTGCAGAACTTCACATACATTCAGCAAGATGACAAACATTGAAATAAGGCCATATGAGACTAAGTACTACCACCCAGCCAGTGATATGATTTCCTCCATAGAAAAATCAGCATTAAAATTACTCCTTTGCAAATCTGCTATTTCAAATGCAACAGAAGAAGCCTCCCCATAGGTATGCTGTAGGCAGAACAAAAGAAAACAGAACACATTTTTCATGCCCAACCATTCGCCCACAAAAGCAGACACTTCACTAACCAACAGAAGTTCCAGTCATGCCTGGGAACTGCCCTGTGCTCCCCGGAAAGCACCCAGCTCAGAATGTATTGTTACTCTCCTGTTTCTGACCCTCCACTTGAAGGTCTCAAAACTTTCCAGCAAAACCTGACATGAAAGAGCTGATATGATTCAGACCACAGGTAGTTTGCTCACACGATGGAAGAAGGTTCAGCTCTAATGGACGAGATCTGGTTCTGTAGTCAGTGATCCACCTCCATCCCCAGCTTCCTGTGTTGTTTCTCGCCTCCCCCTTCCCTGTCAGCAGTTCTTCTCTCCTCCCGTCTCCACCCCTTTCCTGTCCCCTGCTTTGATCAGTTTGGTTCCAGCACCTTCGTTTTCCAGGGAATACCACAAGCCACTACACACTATGCCTGATAAAAATGACAACAGGGGGGTGGCTGCTCAGAGTGTGGTATGAGAGGTCCCTGATTCACCTCTGCCTCCCACTCTGGTTCCTGAGATTCCCACTCTCCTTGGGTCTAGGCATCATTTTCAGAACATTCCTGCTACATACAAATAAATGTCCTCCCTAGAAGTGGTCAAGTATTATTATCCCAACAGATCAGACTGCTTTACCATAACCAGCAAAGGAAAGCCCCCTGGAGTCAGGACCAGGGAAGAGAAGTGTTTAGAACTCTACCTAAGAGCCTTGGCAGGGTGGGTTAAACAGGTGCAGAAAAGAGCCAGGGGCTGCAAAGGAGCTACCTGCACTCTGTTCAGATCAGGCCGAGCCTGCACCTCAAGAAGCTCATGAGTACAGCTGCCACATCTTTGCCTGCCAACACAGCCAGCCCAAGAGCGCACGTGTGTATGTAGGTTTACATCTGCATCTGTGCATATGCACAAACATGTTTGTGTGTGCAAGCAGGCATATGTTTGTGTCACCAAAATGCCTGACAATTGCCAGTAGAGTTCCTCCTCTTGCACAGTCTGTACACCATTCACCACAGGGCCCAAAGCTGTGTGCATTCTTCACACCCCAGTGTGAATGAGTATCAGATCAAAGACAGGTCACAGCCAGTTTTGATAACAAAGGCGGAAGACGAGCTTGAAGGCAGCAGCTGTCTGTTTCAATAGGAGGCTGAGGGAGGTGGAGGAACGTCAGCAGACACACCCATTCCTCTCAACTCAATTTGCAAAACACAAATTCAGGCAAGAGCGATTTGTCAAGCGAGGGGTTCTACAGAGGCTCTGAGGATACGCACTGTGCCCACTCTCTGCAGCTTCGCCCCTGAGCCCTCCTGGGGACGCTCTCCCCAAAGAGTCCCTGTTCCTGTCCAAGGCACTGCCATTTCTACAGGTTGGCACATGGCACCCATGCCACCCTTCTTGAGAAGGTTCAGAGGTTCTGGGCACGGAGGGCCACCCTGGGGATGCTGTGGGAAGCGGTGGCAGCAGCAGTAGCTGCTGTCATCTGTTTACTGCAGAGGTCAACTCCAGAGGGGCAGTTGCCAGTGTGGCCCCGGCGCGGGCTGTGGGGCTCAGCGCCCCCCCAGGGACACAGTCACCACAATGGTACTGGTCGAGCCCAAAGGCTCTGGTGGGGAGCTGGCAAGCCTGGCAGGAAACCCCAAATGCTCACCACTAGTGCTCTAGCATGGCTTGTCCCTGCTCTTTGGAGCCAATGTCTAGAGCTCAGTCTGGAGGGATTCTAAATATTCTATGTGACCAGAGAATGCCAAATCGAAAGGGATACTGAGATCTCTGAACGCTGCTTTCCTCTAAGCCATAGAAATCAAGGTCCAGCCTGGGCAATGGGCAATGACAAGCTGAAGCCACACAGCCTTTCTAGGGCACACCCATACAAAGTCCACCTCTTCTCGGGACAAAAGGATTGGGGTTTGCACCCTAGAAGTTAGTATGCTTCTTTTTATCAATGATGAAAAGACACTTTCTCTTTTTCTTTACCACAAAGCTGAGGGCAAACACTCAGTCTCAATAACCAGCCCTGCGGATCCAGTCGTGAGCTCTGCAGTTGAGTGCCAGGATGTTACTTCTGCCCCTTCACTTTCCTGCGCGGAGGCCTCCTCCCCAAGTTTGGCAGAAGGGCCACTCTCTAACAAAAGGTGGCCTATCTGAGTGGGTCTGCAGTTCTGTTTGCCTCAGCTTCCATCCCAGGTCCTGGTTCAATGCTTTCTTCTTTATGACTCTTTAACTTTCTTGCTTTATTTTAGCTATTTCTGTTCAGCAAAGTCTCCCCAGTTTACCTCCATATCTACGATCCTGGTGACCTGCATCCAATGTCTGAATCTGAGTCAAAGAGCATGCACAGAGAGGTATAGCTAACAAGGGTGTGAGATGGGGCCCAGGAACTTATGCACAAGCAAATCGCGCAGGCAACAGGACCGCAGCAGTACCCGTCTCCAACTTAGAGATGATCCCTGCTGCCCTGGGGCTGAGCATCTACTTCATCCAACCGAATACACATTTACTGAGATCCTACCATGCCTGGCAGTACACAAACTCTTTCTCTTGAAGAACTCAGTACTGGGGGAGGAAACAGATAAGTTCAAAGTAAAAGCAAATCATTAAAAAAAAATGCCTAAAGGCATGGATAAGACCAGAAGTAGCATAGAGGAGAAAGGAACTGCTCTTTAAGGGGCCTGAAGAGCTTTGCAGACGTCTTTCAAAGCTGAGGAACCAGAGGAGCCCCTGGCCTTCTGGGCACTGGACACTGGGCAGGGCAGGTGTCTCTGTTACTTTACTCTCGTTGCTGAGACAAAATACCTGACACCCAAAATTAAGGAAGGAAAGGTTTATTTAGCTCACAATTTGTGGAGGTTTCAGTCCATACTTGGCTGGCTCCAATGCAGGGTGGCACATGGCAGAGGGCAATCATTCATGGCAGAAAACAGCAAAAGCAGCAAGAGCAAAAATGGAGAAGCAGGCGGGGAGGGCAAGCTTATTTCCCTTCCTTATATTGTATGCAAGCTACCCACCCTGGGATGGGTGAAGCACTCACACCCATAATCTCAGCATTGAGCCATGGATCAATCAGAAAGTCTAGAAGCCTTCCCCATGACTGCATGAGGCTTTGGGGGACATCCAGACACAAACCATAACAGCAGAAAGGTGACGAGTGACTGGAAGCAAATTTCTGGCCCACAGACACCAAGGTGCTTGGACCACAGACTTCTGAAAAGTATACTAGTCCAGACAGAAGATGGCCTCTGAAATCTGAGAGTGTTCCAGGGATAAATACCATGTTTAATGCTTTCTCTAAACCATTTTTAACTGCTGAAATGCAAAGGGGGAGAAGAAGTGCAAATTACGTGAACAATTTTTTCTTTGCTGTGACTGTGAGCTGAGATGTGAACTGTCATTTCCCACCCCTTCAAAGTTGGGAACCATATGTTTTATCTCAGTTAAATCCATGGGAAGCTGGTTGCCAAAAGTAAAAGGCAGGCTGCTAAATCTTGCCTTTTCCCAGCAATTCCATCCAACCTTCACAGCTCTTTCTTCTGATGCCACATGGCAGACAGGCTGCTGAGGGGATTAAGCGAGGGATAGACCACATAGTTCTCCACTCAAATAACATGGTATAGGACAGAAGCAAAACAAAGTGGAGAAATATGAGAAGAAATGCTTCTGCTAACATAGAGGCTGGGAAAGAAGCACAAACTACTTGTGGCTATTTTTTCAACCATGTGGCTTTCTCTGGCCGGAAACCGGCCTGCTGGAGTCCTCTGCCCACACCCTCCTCCCAGGTCTCCGCTCTACATGTGTTAGACACTGAGTTTGTCCCATGGTCCTGCTCTAGTCTATTTTTTCTTTACTCTTTCTTCTCTTCTGTTTTAATCTGAATAATTTCTCTAGATTAATCCTTGAGTTCTTTTACTCTTTCCTCAGCTCTATGCAGTTTATTGTTCAGCCTGTTGGAGAAACTTTTCATCACTGAGAAGCAGTTTTTTATTTCTAGTATTTTATTTGAATTTTTCTTGGAGATCCCCCTCTCTGCTGAAATTC